CAGAGCTTCTGATTTACACAACAGAGTTGACTCTGGTGGCCAGAGAAAGCTATCCAACAAAGAAATGCAGACCTTTCCAGATGGAAATCAAGCCAATGAGCTATGAAGAGGACAAGGGACCTGGAGGCATGGAGCCAGCAGTATGTGTGTGTGTGTGTGTGTGTGTGTGTGTGTGTGTGTCTGTGTTATCTTAAGACCTTGCTGGTCATTTCTGTGACCTGGCATGGAAGGAGATTGGAACAAGTTTTCATTCTGCCATGTTGATCTGATATTTCTGCTATCAATTTCAGAAATAAATACTAAAGCAAAAGACCATTAAAAAAATAATGGAAATGAATAAAATGTCTCTCCAATGTGTAACTTCCTGCCTTGCCTCTTTGTACATTACTACTGAGTAAGCAGGAATAATTTTTGTCACCAGGTGCAAGCCTGAAACAAATGTGTGAAGTAAGTGAAACATTTTGTTTTTCCTTCTAGCCTCCATCCATCCTGGATTTGCCCCCCAGCCCCTCTCACTGGGCACTAGAGGGAACTCTCGTTCTCCAAAAAGAGAAACCTAAACCCAGATTTAAATCTTGGCCCCTAATGCAACCACTTCCAAAAAGACATTGGTTGTATGCACCAAAACTAAATACTATCTATACCTACGACCCAACAGTCCCACATCTTGTATCCTTCCAGACCCATGGCGTGTAGCCGCAGCCTGCAGTTGCTGATCCCTGGATTTCCTAAAATTGATCTTTCTGTTTGTGGCCTCTCAGCTTTTCGAACACCTCTGTATTCTTTCCTGTATTACGCTCCCTGTATTGGTTTCATTTTTCTGGCTGGAACCACAAGAAGAAAACCATGGTTTATTCTAGATTTTGTTTCCTACAGGAGTTATTTTGTGTACCTCCCTGGTGCTTCTTTGAAAGCCTCCCTGAGAAGTGGACTTCCTCTATGACTTTTTTCTTTTATACTGGTCCAATGAGGATGAGAAATCTGTATAACATACCCACACATGACTTATAACCCAGAGCAGAGCCCTGACCTTCAAATTACATCTAGAACATAATCATCAACCAAAAAATTAGCATTCTCAATATTGGAGAGATGCCATATGTCTACAAGCTGATCTATAGAATCAGTGAAATTCTTATTCACACTCTAACAAATATTTTTAAAAGGCAACTTGACAGTTGAGTCTAAAATTTGTATGGAAATCAAAGGGACAATAATGGCCAAAATTCCATGAAGAAAAACCGGGTGAGCAGGCCTTCTCTACACGATACCGAGGCTTATTTAAAAACCATGGTGATAGAGAAAGGGGGGTACTATTCCAAAAATGAACAACGGAACAAGGAACACAAATAAGGGCTTAGAAACCTCCCAAGTGTATATGGGCTCAAGACAACCCCCCCACCCCCAAGTGACACTGCAGAGCGGGTGTACAAAGATACTCACTTCAATAAAAATGTCCAGGACAATTGGGTGGGGATGTGGGGGAAATGTGACTGTTCAAATATCTAAACCCAGGATCTTAAGGCCAAATGTTGGTCTCCCTCCTTGGCCTTGCTCTGAAAGAATTCCTGAGAAATGCTTCTCGCAGCAATTGCTCTGTTCTTGTTATTGTTCTTCCTCGTTTCTTTTTGATACATGAGGATATACACGTGAAAGGGAAAATGATACAAGTTTAAAAAGAATAATAATATAAAGTTAAATCTGAATGTGGTTTAGAGTCCCTTTATTTTTCAGAATCCAATAAAAAAAATCATGAGAACTCTTTCCTATATCGAGACTCGATGAGGAGCAAACGCAGTTCAAGGCCAGTCTGAGAAGCCACAAGATGGCACTGACATGAATGAACACCAGGGTTTCCAAGAGGACAAGGGAAGGGACATCGCTGGTAAAGATAATGTGACAGACATAGGAATACTCCTAAAGGTGGTGAATTCAAAGGACTACTGGCAATCGGTGCTTGGGAAGAGCAGTTGGGGATATAGTTTCAACAGGAGAACTGCTCACAGATCTGCACCCAAGCAAGGACCTTACTGAACTCCTCCCTTTGCTGGCCCCATTACTTTACAGGAGTCTTACCAGACTCTTCGGTGACAAGAACATTCTTTGTTTGTTTGTTTTTAAATAATTTCTGAAAAATGAAAAAGAAAGTATAAGAAATAGCCATATACTTGTAGTCAAATAAGTGGCCATCTAGCAGGGAAGCAACAAAGCCCACATGGAAGAAGCAGACCAGCCTGTGTGATCATGAGGTGTTGATTCGAAGAGGTACCAGAAGTTCAAAAACAAGCAATCAAATGGATGTCAGGGGGCATGGATGTAGTGGAGACCCCAAATCCACCTAAGATAATTGGAGAGTCCCTCTTAGAAGGGCCACACAGAAGGGATGAAAAATCCAGGGTGCAATATAGCACTGATGAACCACATAACTGTCCGCTAGTTCTTCAACCTTTCCTCCCTTTACTATTATGGTTTTTATTGGTTTTACCTCATCAATCGTGTTAGATTTACACATGTTCATTTGTGTATTTGAGATTGTTTGCTACATGAAATTCAAGATAGATAGCCCTTCGGGAGTAATGGTTCCCTGGGGGTGTGGGAAAGGGGGAATGGCGGATGGGGATCTCATAGCATTGATGACGGTATAACCCCACTCATGGGCTCGAACAACAGAATGTTATGTGAATGAATTTATGGGACTCTGTAAGATATGATAATGTATATATATATATATTATAGAAAAGAAGGGTTCCTGGGGAGTATGGTGGGCAGGGAGGGGACAAAGAGGAGCTGATATCAAGGAGTCCAAGAACAAAGAAAATGTTTTGAAACAGATTGTGGTAGCAATTGTACAATACTGCTTGATGTGATTGAACTGTGGAATGTATGTTATCTGTAAGAGTTCCCAATAAAATGATTTCAAAAAGAAATATCCATATGCTTTTCACTTCAAAGGAGCATGGTGGCACTGTGGATTAAGCATGGGGCTGCTAAACACCAGGTAAATGGATCAACCCACTAGATCTACAGTCTCAGAAACCCTTAGAAAGAGTTCTACCCTGTCGTATGAGTCATCAAGAAAGAAGAAGAATCTCAACAAGAAGGACCGACTGAAACAATGGGCTCAAACATAACAACAGTTGTACAGAGGGTGCAGGACCCAACAGTGTTTTGCTCTGTCCTGTGTGGGGACCACTGTGAACGGGAACCGACCTGCCAGCATCTAACATTAGCAGCAACGTGATTTGTAGTCAACTCCCTGGCAGTGGGTTTGTTTTGTTTTGTTCCACCTCACTTGCCCAAATGCTGACACTGACCACACTTGCTTTAACATTCTCTCGCAAACGCTATTGTTAAGTGGTTTTTATTTGCAGAAATATTTGAAAGTTGTGCATATGAAACTTGACCTTTAGATACTCCAATGCCTGTTTCCTTAAAATAAAGACACTCTTTTTGTATAACCACAGCACAATTCTCAAAATCAAGAAGCTAACATTGATAGATATGATCATGTAACTTACAGATCTTACCAACTTGCCCACTAATATAATTTTGAACACTATTCTTTTAGATGTTTGGTGGCTATGGTCTTGATAAAAACTCCTAGCCTTTCCAGAAAGATCTGTTCATGCAAAAAGAGTTTGAGCCTTCATAACTTTCAGGAAAGGAAATCAAACCTCTACTAGCTGTACAATCAGAGCTCTTCCTTCTCTGAGAGTCACCCCAAATGTAGGCTCACTCTGTTCCCGAAGCTTGTGCTCCCAGAGGTTCTGGTTTCTCTGCTGTACAAAGTACTTGTGTGTTGCTTTTTTTTCTTTTCTGTTTTCCTCAGTTCCTCGTTGTTATTGTTAGGTGCCATAGGGTCGGCTCCGAGCCATATCGGCCTTATGCACATACTGAAACACTGCACAGTCCTGTGCCAGCCTCACAATTGTTCCTATGCCCAAACCCATTGATGCAGCCTTTGTGCCAGTCCAGAGGAAATCCGTGTCACGGATATTCTGGAAATTGTGTTCGCCTTCTTTTAGCACGTAATAAATACTCTTGGACCTCAAGTTTAAAGCAAACGGAGATGCACCAGGCTGGTAGGAACTTAATAGTTCTAACAAGCACATTTATTTCCCACAGCAAGAAAACATCAGGATCGCCAGTGCTGTCACCAGTTCTTGAGACTGGTTGTAAAAGGAGTAAAAAAAAAAAAAAAAAAAAAGGCCAAAGGGTAACAACCTAAATAAATGCCTATCAGAAAGGGGATTGGTTAAAAAAAAGTCTGATGTGCTCATTCAAGATGATTTGACGCAGCCATTGAGAAGGTACAGCTATACAGGAAAATGTACCACAAAAATAAATTAAGACAAAACAGCAGAGTAGTCAAGTCTTGTTGGCTCTGCAAAGAGGAATTGGAGGGGCTGGGGGTGGGAAGGAGACTTTGTGCTTTTGGATGTAAATATACTCGCATGTTGGATGTGTTGTGCATTCCGAGTCAAGGCAGATAGGATAAACAGAAAGTCACGGGTAGGCAGATACATCCAAAACCACAAATTTGAAGGCAGTCCAGGTCCTCTAGTCTCTGGCTGCACCTTTTATATTTGAAGCCATCACCACTCACCAACCAGGTAGTCTTCCTGATGCTTAGCACTCTTTTCCTCCGGAGTGGTGGAGACCCAAAACAGAATTAGCCATGTTTTCAGCAGATCGGTACATGGCCTTAAGCAGGTTTTGTTTTTTGTTTTTGATTTGGAGGCGTGGGGTGGGGGAGGGAAGTTTGGGTCCAGCCAAGGGGGACCCCTCTCCGGCCCCGCCTTTGCTCCCCGCTTAGATCTACACTGCCTCCCCTCATCTTTTCCGTTTCCCTGGCGCCTTCCTACGCACCCCGGCTCCAGACCCCGCGCTCCCGGGCCACTGGACTGGCGTAAATTTCCGCCTGCTTGCGCCACCGCCCCCGGGGCCTCCTCGTGACGTCAGAGCTGAGCTCGGGGCCTCCGCCTCCTGGCTGCCCGCCGTACAGCCCCCACCTGCTCTTTATAAGAGCGGGGTCTGCGCCAACCGCACCACACCACACCGCGGGGACCACGACACACGGCTAGCTTTCCGGAGCCTCTCCATCTTGCTTCCCATTCCGCCCTACCGGTGCGCCTCCACCTTCTCTCCGCGCCCGAGCCGGGCCATGCAGCCGCCGGTGCTTCTCGGCCTCCTGGGAGCCGCGGTGCTGGCCGGTGAGTGAGTGGGCGCGGCGGGCCCTTCAGCACCGCGGACAGCGCCAGCCGCCCGGCGTCTGAGCGGGCAGATAAGCATGGGGAGGGAGGGGCGGGAGGATGAAAGAGGGGTTCCCCCTAGTTTGGGGTAATACATTTTGTTTCTTCTTAGGTGCCCCGCCCCATTAAACTCCCTCCCCCCGCCCCACTCTTTGACCCGGAAAAAGCCGAAGGGTTTCCTAGCCCAGCCAGGAAAGTCTCAGACTTTTCCTCTCGAAATTTTCCTATAAAACAGAAAGGGACCCTCACCTCTGAAGAAAGTCCACATTTTGTGCTCACTTCTAAGATATCATACCCTCTCTACACGTCTAGGGAGACACTGTTACAGTCTGATTCTGCATCTTTAATGCAGGATGGCAGACTGTGTGCATGGAATTTAGAAGGCTGGCACTGGTATACGTTTTCATGATTCCTATTATATCTAAACATGAGGAGTTAAAAGTAAATCCGGTATGCGAATAAGATAATTTTTTTCCTAACACGGTCATACAGAATGTGTTCTGTATATGCAAGTTTTGTATATTGTTTGTCTGTTTTGTATTTCTATCTCCAGCAAGAGAATCTCTAACTCGAATCTTTTTTTCCTCCTTTTGAGTTATGAATGAAAAGTACACTAGGCATTTTGACTTTTATGTTCCATGAAAGTAACTAGAATATAAACTAGCCATAAAAGTATTCATGGAGAAAGTTTTAGTCCGTTGGGGAGGATTAAAATTTAAGCAGTAGATATTTTCCCTCTTTGTGTGTGGAAGATTGTGGAGTTAAATCTTTTAAAATTACTTTCTATCCAAAGATATGATCTCTGGGGAGATGAAACGTGTGTGGGTGTGGGTGTGTTTCAAATGAATAAAATCACTATGAGTACTGAGAAATAAGTAAACCATTAGAATAAACTGGAAGGAATTTTTTTGTGGTTGTTTTTGCCATTTTTATGGCTTCATAGAAAATTGTTCTTAACTGAAATTGACAGTCCTAACTAGAATTGGGATATTGTCATCCATAAACATGAAGCTCTCGTGGACAGCCATTCCTGGATCAAAATTATGAAGATGTAAAATGAAATTCCATTGTAAGTTTTATTTTATTGCAAGCTACATACTTTGTCATTTTCTAAAATTCTCGTTAGTCTTACACGTCTCCTAGAAATAACTTAATTTTAACTAAAGAAAACCTGGTGAATAATTAGGAGTTCTTTGTGGTTAAAACACTTCATAGAAATGAATTGTTTAAGAAGCTGAAGCTATGGTATACATTGTGCTAAAGACCAGGAAATCAGTGACATTTGTGGGACTTATTTAACTGTGGTACTAAATTACTTATGAATCTCTTATGCAAGGGAAAATTTTAAGGAGGCTTCATATTTCACTAGCAGCTAAAATGGAGAATCATATTCTTTTTAAAAAATTAGATATAATTTACATATCATAAAATTCATGCTTTATAATGTAAAATTCCATAGTTTTTGTATATTCATAGATAGGCCACAATCACCGGATCCCTGGTGATAAAGTGGGTTATGTGTTGTGCTATTAAGCTCAAGGTCATCTATTCAAACCCATCAGCTGAGCAGTTGAAATCTACCAGCCATTCAGAGGATGAGGCTGTCTCCTTGCCTCAGAAATCCTAGGTAGCAGTTCTACTCTGTCCAATAGGATAGGATCACTGTGAGTTGGAATTGATTTGATGGAAGTTGTGTGTGTGTGTGGTGTTATTTGCAACCATCACGACTATCAAATTTCAGAATGTCTGTTATTTCACAAAGAAACTCTACCCCTTAGTAGCCATTCTCCATCCACCCTTCTCTCCTGAGCCCTGGCAATGAGACATGATATTCCTCAAGCAGAGTTTATCATTTAGCAAAATCACAGGGCTGGGGGGAGCCTCAGGGAACCATCTGGTTCATTTCCTACTTGAAAGGCATCTGGAGATAGAGCCACAACCATCCACCAAGCTATCATGTCCTCTAAATACTCTTATGAGTAAAGTAATCACATGATCACTCCATTAAACTAGGTAAATGGTTTCTGTCTCCACAAAAGCTAATTTATCTTAAAGCTACATTTTAATATGTTATTTAACTTAGTTTATGAGTCATTAATACTTAAGAAGTTATTCTTAGATTTATCTCAAGGCACTACTTCTAAATTGTCCTACTATTTGAGGACTTCACTTTCAAAATCACCATGAGGTTTTATTTTAAGCCTGTGAATGTCACTTCCTATGAAAAGACAATAAACTACTTTAGTGGTAACCAACATGCCTTTGGTTCTTACATTACATCACAGATTCTGTTGGAAAGGACATGCAGCATTTAGATGTCTCACAAGATGCATAAGATCTTTCACAAGCAAAGTCTAATCATGTTTGATCAAAAAAGGGGTGAGAAGCCTCAATCTGAGAAACAGAAATAAAACTGTTCTCTGCTAAGAAATGTGAGCTATTGCCTTTTTTAGAGTTTGAAAACAATTTCTCCCCTGCTAAATCTGATCATTGTTCTCAATCTGTCAATACCTATAAGTAATAAAAACAATTAAATGATAGCTATTTTACATTTGGGGGAGGGGTGAAAAGCATTAGCAAGAAACTGGATTACCAAATAAGGTTTGGCGAAGCTGGGTTTTGCTTTTCTAAGTGTACCACCTTGTTCATGAGGGGAGTAATTGTCTCACTGTTATTGTTTTCCAGAGGATTATACAGATTTCAGCTGGACAGAGCAAGTTCCGATGTAGGAGTCTTCCCAAATAATAATTGTATGGGGGGATAAAGCACAGGCCAGCATACTGGGCCCCAGTGGTCCAAGGGGCCATCTGGATTTTGTCTGAACTGCATTTCAGGAAGAACGCTAAGGCCTTCATTGCTTGTTAGCCACTTCTCAGACCTTACAAATGAGTCAACAGATGTGGCAACTGTGGGCCTCTAGAAACAATTGACCCCAGCACAAGCTTTAAAAAGGAAAATTGAGTATGATGAATAAATTAAGTAGGTATTTCTAGGTTTAGCCCTATGCTATGCTATATCAATTAATTAGTGAGAGTGAGGAGCAGAGACTTAGAGAGGAATCATTTTGGAATGAAAAGATCTGGTTACTAGTCATAAAACAACTATATTTGAGTAGCTTCCATCTCTGACAGCCGAGGACTTTGCTCTTGGTCTGGCTGGCTCTTCTCATGTCTCTGGGACCTAGAATACTTGTCTGCACTGGGCTTTTCAAAATCCTAATTGTCATCATCTGGCCCAGGGAATGCTGGCAGAATGGAGGAGATGGGCTCATATGTAAGTGCGTTGAACTTCTCTACTGGAAAATATCACATATGACAAAGTAAAAATGGGGATGAGAAATAAAGCAGTCTTAATAGGAAAAAATGACACTGGAAAATTAAAATCTCTTAAAGCATTTCCTAAGAAGACAAGAGCATTTCAAATGCCCATTGAACATAGGAAGAAGCTCATAAAATGTAAATATATTAAAAATCAGCCTTTGAAGTATATCATCATAAGCCAGATGTTTTTCATAAACCATTTGTTAAATGTCTATCTTCATATTATGGACTTGATGGTGCCTTAGGAGAATTCCATGCCTCCCTTGTTCTTTATACAACTTTAGACAAAATGGGGCAAGGGAAATACAACATTGGCACAGATTCATAAGCAAGCTCATCCATGAAACTCTTGTGGACAAAAATGGAGGAACTTGATTATGATGGTGTTTCAATAAGTTTGTGGAAAAACTTCATTATCTTTCCAATTAATTTTTCCACTAACTTTTTGAATCACCCTCATATTCATAAGCATGTTTTTGTAGAGAAATGAAGTGGGGAGAGCAGTAGGCAGAAAGCATCACAGATCTTTGTTCATTTGGGGTGGCTAGGGAAGACAGCTTGGGGTGGGTACCCTCGTTCTATTTAGACTTGGCTTGTTTTCAACTTCTCATTGAAGTATAATATACATATAGAAAATTGTTTCGATCATAATTGTGTAGCTTAATACAATTTTCACAAATGGAACATACCCATGTAATCAACACCCAGCTCAAAAAACAGAACCTCACTAGTACATCAGATACTCATGGCCTGGATTCGATTTCAAATGGGCTTAAGATAGCATTAATTCATTGCCAAATTAAGCTGAAGTCATTGCTAGAGAAAATTAGCAGTGTGTGTGTGGTGTGTGTACACAAGCATATATTCAAACATTTCCACACACACTTTTGCCCTGGGGTCGGGGTATTCAATCAAATGGTTTCTCGGCTTTTCAACAATATTGATAGACCTCATGCATCTCTGGAAGCTGGTTCCAGCAGCATTTTGTTATTTCCTCAACTCATTTTGAGTTACTTTCAGATCCTGTAATGTAGTAATGTCACCCTTGATTTCAACTTAAATTTACATTTTAAGGATCTTTACATTATTAATTAGAGCTTCCAATAGCTATTCTTTCCCATAGAACAACTTCTTTGTAATTCTAGTACTTTCCTTGATAACCAAGCCCCACAAGTAGTAGGTATAACCTCAAATTACTCATAAACAGCTAGACGGGACTGAAGATTCCAAGCTACTTCCCCTTTCAAGTAAGAAAGGACTGCTAAAATGTCCCATGTCTAATCACAAGTGGGCTGTAAGACGTATGTGGTTTTCCTAGTTAGCAATACTTTAATATTTGCTTCATTTTGCCTCAGACTCATGGTTTTTGCCCAATTGTTGTCTATCATGCAGGTTAATGTGGTCCCAATCTGAATGATGTAATTTTCTCTTTTCAGTTAAGTATTTCATAAGGAACATTCATCTCTTTAGAAAATGCCTAAGATCTTCAGTTGCCCAAAGTCTTAAAATACTTACACTATGACTTTATAACTTAATGATTTAACTTAATTTCTGTACGAACCTAAATATAGAATTCCTAAGCTACTTCAGTTTGCAAATGTGTTAGCCAAGTGACTTTAAGTAATTATAATGCTGTTTCTGGGAGGGGGGGAAATGTATGTTTGAATGTACATATATTATAGACATATGCCTAAAATATATTCTTAGTAATACCTATAGAACTGCAAACTTTTATTCACCTCTAAATAAAACAACATACAATTCATCAAAGAGCTGGAGCAGAGAGGGAAGGATGTATTGACGCTAAGAGAGAATGAGCTAGATCCTTTCTTTGGAGAGCATTGGAATGTTGAAATGGGGCTGCAGTCTAAATTTTTTAAAATTGAAATACAACATTCCTTCACATAGTAGAATGCTATGTGTTTTGATCTGTATCACCAACACCTCAGTCAAGAACATGTCCACTATTCCAAAGATTCTTGTATCTGGGAATTGAATATATATTCAATTTATATTTATATAATTGAATATATATATTCAATACACACACACAGTCCATTGTCCCTAATACAAAGCTCTTCTTTCCCTTCTATCCCAGTGCACATACACACCCCACTCTCTCTGAGTCACTGCTGTGGTTAGGGAGGGCTAGCATGCCAGTCTTCCCCAACTGTCTTTACTCTCCTCAGCTCCAACTCTGCCTCTTTGAACAAGTAATGTGTGGATTGTTTTGATTCACATTGCTTGCAAAAATAAACTCAAGGCATCTCTAATTTCTTTTCTCTTTCAAAGCTGTCAGTTCTATGCCCGTGGATAACAGGAACCACAATGAAGAAATGGTAAGCTGAATTATAAGTCTAGAATCTCAACACTAGATTCTTCTACCCCCTAACCAGCTAACCAATCAACCAAACTCCTAACAATAGGCTTATAAAACCAGAAGTTCATCCCTGAGGAGATAAGGATGAGGAATATCCATACTGCCCTTTGTCCCACATCCCCATTTGGATGTTTTTGTGTCCTGGAAGACAGTTGTGTCATTGCAACCTTCCCTTTCCAACCTGTTCCTAAGTGGGTATTTATTTCCCTTCTCAAAGTAACATCGAAGCAATGTTGTCTTGCATTGTAGCGCTTCCCCTGCTGGTCTCCATTTATTGGGCTGCTTCACTGCCGTCCTGGGCCTTTGTATCCATGTGTTAAGGATTCTGCATCAGTTCAGGCCACAGACTTGACTCTTCGGACAGTAGTTCTGCTTCCCAGTGACCACAGCTATTGCCAACTACTTTCTGGTTCCCCCCTCCCCCCAGGTGACTCGCTGCATCATTGAGGTCCTCTCCAATGCTCTGTTGAAGTCCAACGCTCCACCCATCACCGCCGAGTGCCGCCAAGTCCTGAAGAAGAGTAAGAATCCCCATTGCAGGCATAATTGTGTCCCTGCACCGATGTTTGCCCTTGCTCCTTTCACTCCATCTTCCATTTTGCTTTCAAATGGACTAAGGGTCAGATTTCAGTAGGATGAGTATTGGTCAGACTAGGAAATAAAAGATATGGCTTCTAGTCCCTGCTGCGCTCTGATGAAGAACTCTTGCCTCTCTGGGTCTATTTCCTCAAAGTAAAATAAAAAGGGATGAACTCAATGGCACTTCAAAGGACACGTGTCTATAAGTATTCTAGAGACAGTCTACTGAGAAAATGTTGAGAGGAGGAGGGTTTCAAGGTTCCTCCAGGGTTACAGACTCAAATGCCAACCAGGGCCAGACAGAGAACATAAAGGAGTGAGCAAAGGCAGGAAGTGACGGTCCCTCTTCTGAGACGGACCAGAAACTTCTCAGCTCTAATTGAGTGTCAGGCTTTCCAGTTGAACTCAGTGAAGTAAGTGGATCTTTAAGCCCTCCCAGCTAACAATTCAAAAAATGTTAGCTGCATATCTCCTTCCATGGGCTGCCCTGAATGAAGAGAAGATCCAGTAAAGGAACTATCAACCTTTGAAAAGGGGGCAGGAAGAAAGATATTTAATTAAAATATCACTTGTGACCTCTTCTGTTGACTCAAGAAACACAAAGATGCCTCAGAATGCCAAAAGTCATACCTTTTCCTCAGCACCTGGGTGAATAGCACCTGAGTGAAGGAAGGAGTATATCGTCCCTCTGTTGTGTCATTTTCTCAGAGGAGGAATTTAGACCCTTCTTAGGATGTCCATTTACTAATGGCCACTGTCCCTCACTACTAGATTGACTCTACACAGTTGATTAGATCATTTTTAAAATGGATAAAATAGTCATAAAAAAATTAAGCACACACAAAAAAATTAAGCACAATGGATCCTAATAGTTTCCATTTGGGATAGCTAGTGAAATCTTTTCAGCTGGATTATATTAACTAATTACTTCTCTCTCTCTCTCTCTCTCTTTTAGGGTTCTTTATTATTATTATATTTAGACCCAGTCACACTAGCTAACTTTTCACCCACTACTTAGAATAAATATGGAAAGAATGGCCCAGAATTATACCTCTTTGAACCTTACTTCCCTTATCTGCCAACAGAGGAGATTGAACTGGAAACATTCTAAGGTTTCTTCTGTTTCAAAATTGTAGTATTTCATAAAGCCACTTCCGGATTTCATTTTGATCCCTGATAGGAGCAACACAAGCTGCTGGTTGGGTATTATGAAAACATAGAAGCCAAAAGAATTTTTTATTAGATTTAAACACAGCCAGAAGCTTTCATACGATTGACTTTTCAAAGGAATCTAAGCCTAGTCTTTATTAACTTAACAATTCACCCAAGCAAATCTTCAGTGTCCTGAGGATTTGTAGCGATTAGCTAGGCCGATACGGGCTGAACAACGGTCATTTGTGGTTCCACTTACTCTGTTGTATTTTCCTCATAGGTGAAAAAGAGGTCAAAGATGAAGAAAAAAGTGAAAACGAAAACCAAAAATTTGAAGTCAGATTGTTAAGAGACTCAAGTGATGCCTTCGAAGGCCACAGGCCCTCAAGCAGGGAGGAAGTGGGAAGCCCAGGGGAAGAAGGCTCCCAAGAGCCTGCAAAGGAAGGCCAAGAGAAATGGGCCCAGGGAGGTGGACACAGCAGAGAAGAAGTGAGCGAGCCCCAAGGGAGTCTCTATCCCGCTGCCAGTCAAGTCTCCATAGAACCAAAGGCACACCATTACAGGGAGAGCGAGCACGATGGTAGGGAGGAAGAAGAAAGAGGAAAAGATCAGAGAGGGGAGCTCGGGGGAGAGGCCAAGGCCAAGGAGAAACACCTTGAGGAGTCAGGCAAGACACAGAACGCCCTTCTCACCAAGAGAAACCCCGCGACGGTCAACAACAAAGAGGAGCTAACAGTCGCCCTTGACAAGCAGCCTGCAAGGCCATCCGAGGAAGAGACCCACAGCCGGGAGGAGACCCACAGCCGAGAGCAGAGCAGTCCAGAGAGTGGAGAGGAGGTGGGAAGGGGCCAGGAGAAAGACCCCCACGAGGCGAAGAGCCCACCTGGGCGCCAGGAAGAATCCGAGGAAGGCGAGGAAGACGCCGCCTTTGAGGAACCCGAACGACGCTGGAGGCCGAAGCACCACCCTCCCTCGGAGGGCTCGCAGCACCCACACGTGCACCTGGCACGGTTGGGGGAAAAGAGGGACCGCCATTCCACCCGTTCCAGGGCGTCAGAAGAAGAACCCGAGTACAGGGAAGAAGTGGGGACTGGCCCTCGTGCCTGGGTTCCGGAGGACCTGGAAGGGGCAACGTTCGGGGGCAGAGGCAGCGAGGAGGAGCTGGCACCCAGGCCTCACGGGGAGGAGAGCCAGGAGGAGGACCAGAGAGCTCGGCTGGACGCCCAGCTGGACAACGGGCCCCGCAGAGGGAGGGATGGAAGGGAAGAAGCAGGAGGCTATGAAGCGGGAAAGAGGGCCCATCACAGAGGCGGGGGCAGGGAGCCAAGTGCCTATTCGGTTGTGGACACCAGAGAAGAGGCAAGGTCCTTGGGAGAAGGATCCCGCCGCCGGGGGCAGGAAAGCCAGCTGCAGCCAGCAGGGAGACATCCGCAGGGTGAATGGAATGAGCAGGGCCTGCCCGACTTCAGCTACGGTGAAGCAGGCCTCCCAGGCCAGTGGCAGCACCAGGAGGACCCGCAAGCCCCCAAAGAGAGCGGAGAAGAAGTCAGGCTTCCAGATAAGCAATCTGCACCCCACCATGCTGCCGAAAAGAGGAAGCGACTGGGGGAGCTGTCCAATCCCTACTACGACCCCACTCAGTGGAAGAGCAGCCGCTTTGAGAGAAAGGACAACACGGATGACAATTTTCTTGAGGGAGAAGAGGAAAACGGGCTGGCTTTGAACGAGAAAAATGTCTTCCCAGAGTACAGCTATGATTGGTGGGAGAAAAAACCCTTTGCGGAGGATGTGAACTGGGGATACGAGAAGCGAAGGTTCCCCCGGCCTCCCAAGCCGGATCTGAAAAGGCAGTATGACAGAGTGGCTGAGCTGGACCAGCTTCTGCACTACAGGAAGAAGGCAGCCGAATATCCGGACTTCTACGATTCCGAGGAGCCGCTGGGCACGCTGGAAGTGACAGAGAATGAAAAGGACAACCGGAGAGTTCTGACCGAGGAAGAGGTACCGTTTTGAGCTGTTGTAAAATGGTTGATATGAATATATGATGCCCAAGATGATCTGTTATGAATGTGGAAATTGGTGGGGAGAAACAATCTGCCATGAGAACACACCCTAAGAGTAGAGTGAAGAGAGCCTCTGGGGTTGGTTTTCGGTCATTGCCCTCAGACCTGCCCACCTCCTTCTAGACCCTAGATTGGTGGGGAGAAACAATCTGCCATGAGAACACACCCTAAGAGTAGAGTGAAGAGAGCCTCTGGGGTTGGTTTTCGGTCATTGCCCTCAGACCTGCCCACCTCCTTCTAGACCCTAGAATCTAGGGCATCAGCTCGAAGTCCTGGCTTCACACTGGGATCCCTCGTGCTTACCAACAAAACAAAAAGTGGTGCCTTGTGCCCCTGCCCCCGAGATTCTGTCTTGTCTGGGACTGAGTGCTGCCTTGGCACCCAGACTTTAGTGCTTCCGGGTGATTCGAGCTTTTAGTCAAGCTTGACAAACACTGTTTTGGAGGTTTCTTGGTGTTAGAATAGGGAATGTTATTTTCCTCTTTCTTTAACGAAAAATACCTGCCTGGTGGCACAGTGGTTCAGTCAGTGCTCAATTACTAACCGAAGGGTTGGGTGTTCAAACTCACTAGTAGCTCCCTGGGAGATTGAGGTGGCAGTCTACTTCCAGAAAGACTTGCAGGAAAGCGTATGGGGCAGTTCTACTCTGTTCTATAGGTTCCTTGTCGCCAGAAGTCACTTGACGGCAGTGGATTTGATTTGGTTTTGAGTTCTGTCTTTATTTGCTCTTAGAAGGTTGGAGGAAAGGGACTCATCATGCGCTAGGAAAACCAGAACTTCAAATCTGGGAGAGGTAACAACTTCAGTTCCTGCCCAAGCTATTGCCCCCTTACTATGGATTGCGTAGGTCAGTGGTTCTCAAACTTGAATGAGCCTTCGACTCCTGAGGGATTGTCAAAACAAAGATGCCTAGGTTCCAGAATTGCTCCTTCAGATGGGCACTGGGTGGGCGCAGGCCCCTGCATTTCTAACCTGTGCTGAACTAATATCCCCCTCTCTCGCTACATTTCCTCAAACTGAAAGCAAAAGCAATCGATCCAAGACCTCATGCCTCCTTTCTCTGCATTTTCCAGGAAAGAGAACTGGAAAACTTGGCTGCAATGGATTTGGAACTGCAGAAAATAGCTGAGAAGTTTAGTGGGAACCGAAGGGGCTGACGGTCGCTGGAGCAGAGGACATTCTACGAAGAAGCCCTCACATTATTTTCTCCCACTTTACTGAAAGGACCCACTTCTTTACCCAGAGGCAGAGTCAAATATGCTATTCATGGCACATTTGACACAACTGAAAATGTCGTTAATTTCTGCCAGAATGCTGTTGAAATGACTAGCATGACTTGTAGCACATACCTTCTTGCAAAGTAGACACATTAACATGCTTGTGACCATGACTGTAATACTGTCCTTGAGGGAACAAAAATCCTCTCCGTTTAAAATGAAATAAAACAAAAAGATTCACCCGCATTCAACAGTTTCATTGTCCTCCCTTTCTTTGGGGCTAATAGGGAGGAGGGCGATTTTCAAATCTATTCTTTAACGTCAATGCTGAAAGGTGGCATTCGTTGGTCTTTTGGATGCTGGATAGGAACATTAGATAAATAGCAAACCTTCAGAAGTAAACGACGGTTCAGGAAATAGAAATGAGGAAAGCGTCTCTGTACCACCAAGCTGGAGGGAGATTAGATGGACTTGAAGAACTCTTGTTTTTAAAATACTTTTTCGGTTGCTATTGCAGCTTTTATTTTTTAGAAAGTGTTTTCCATTCAACAAGCGAGACACATTTTGTTTCATGTCATTAGTTGCAATTCCCAAAATGTAGCATCACTTACCCCACTTTCTCCCTGGTGCCTGTCTCCATTCCCCATTCCTTCCTCACCCTTTGGAACTTTCTTCTTGGGTAAATGCTGCCCTTTGGATCTCAAACGGTTGATAATTCTAAGATGTACTTACCTCCCAAGTATTATAGTTCTCCTTACAGATCTCTTTGTTCAGCTGAAAGTTGGGCCATGGGGGTAAGTTTATTTCCAGAGCAGTCTCTTATCTTACCAGGAAACCTGCTCTCTCTCTCTTTTTAATTTAGAATTTTGTTGAAGAATTGATTTAAAAAATTATAACAGTAAAAATAATCATTCATTGGTTGGGAAAAGTTACAATTTGCTCTGTAAACTTACACCTAAAGTACAATAAAATGCTTGAAAAATTAAAAACAAACAAACAAAAAAATCTGGATAGCACTACTTCCCGATTTTCTGAAGAGCCAAGTGCTATTTTTCAGGGTTGAGGAGAATACCTTAGATCATGAAAACAACTTTGAAGTGGGAATCAGAAATCTTGGACTGACCCAGGCAGATCCCTGGACTCTTAGGACTTGTCTCATTTTTTGTCTATAAAATGATGCTCTTATTCTGTTACTAATTTGTTATGTGACTTTGGGCAAGTTATTTTCTCTCTGAGGTCATCGGTCGAGTTGGGATATCCATTTCATCATGTTCTTATACGGAACATATCCGAGCAGTGCTGGAAACACCACCGCCTCTTAGTTGGTTCTGACTCGCAGTCAGTCCCCTTGCAGGAAAGCACAGAACTGCCCAATACAGTTTCTAAGGCTGCACATCTTTTTTTTTTTTAAAGCTTTCATTGTGAATTAGGTGAAGGCTTACTAAGCAGATAATCAGTTTTACATTTAATGATTCACAAGGCTGTTAATTTTCATGGCAACAAATTGGAGTGGCTGGTGGTCTCCAACTACTGATCTTTAGGTCAGCAGGGAAGTCCTTTAACATGGCACCACCATGGCTTTTGAACACATAACAATGGCCACTATTGTCCCAGAAACGAGAAGGGGCATTGGTGACCAGTGAGGGTCATCATGATAGCTTGGACTGGGTTGGTAACCCAGGAAATGAGGAGAAATAGTTTAACCCTAGGTCTGTTTTAGAGGTGGAGCTGACAAGTAGGGTGGACAGATTTGGTGTGGTCTCTGGGGAAGAGAGGTCAACAAGGTGATCACAGTTTGTGGCCTGAGCAACTAGATCAGAGGAGGGAAAGCTTTGGGAAGTGACTCAGGGTCTCTGGCTTGGTGCATTTGAGGTGTTCAGCTGAGTGTGTAGGCCTGGAAAGCAAAGAAAAGGTGTGTGCAGAAGAGGTAATGTGGGGGTGGGGAAGCGGCATCATAAGAGAAGCTATTTAAAGCCTTGAGTCTAAGTGAGATCATATAGGGAGCAGTGTGAACAGAGAGGAGTGGTGAGGATTGAGCCCTGGAGCCGCCAATGTTGAGAAGGCTCAGTGGCAAAGAAGCGCCAGCAAAAGAAATGGAGAAAGAGAGGCCAGAAAGGCAAGGGGGAGATCAGGAGAGTGGGGTCCTAGAAGCCAAGTGAGGTGCAATGTTGCAGGGAGAGAGGTGCACGCGTCATCTGGAGGGCTGAGGGCTCTGGATTTCACTGCTGTTTCTTGCTGCTCACTGGCTGTGCACTGTGCTGCCCTCCTGTTCATTCTTGCAGGTTCCCAGAGTTTCCATTAAACCAGTGAGTCAGTAAACGCTGTCTTAACAAGCCAGAGAGCAAATATTTTAGGTTTGGGGGCTACATGGGCTATTATAGGTATTCAATATTGCCTGGTAGCACAAAAGTGGCCACAAACCTGTAAATAGGCTATATTCCGATAAAATTTCATTCGTGGTCATTGAAATTTCCTGTCACAAAATTATGCTTTTGCTATTTAAAAATGTAAATGGCTTTCCCCAGGCCTACAAAGGAACTGCCCCATACCCCACCTCCCCCGTAGCTCAATTTTTCATGAATCATTGCCAGATCTAGTAGGGGAACAGTGACACTAGGGAGGTACACCCACCTGAGAATAATCAACCACTGGTATTAAAGGGCAGCATTTACTCGGGATACAGAAGAATGAGGAATTGGAACAAGTCATGTTACATGGTGGGTGCTGTAAACAAGGAGATGAAACAAAAGGCACGGAGATTGTTGAGTGGAAGTGGATGCCTGTAAACCTGCACCCAGTTCAGTTTTTAAAGAGTGTAAATGGTTCTTGGCTTGCGATTTGTAGGCAGCTAAGAGGTGGAAAAACCTAAAGCTCCGTCACCAGTTGAATGGATAATAATAATAAAGGAATAAACAGAACGGGGTACCATCCAACCACAAATAGAAGTCCTGATACATAAACAACAGAGATGAACCTTAAAACATGAGGCTAAGGGACGTTTGTCTGTCACAACAGGAGGGGGAAAAACGAGGACCTGATGCCAGGGGCTTAAGTGGAGAGCAAATGTTTTGAGAATGATGAGGGCAATGGATGTACAAATGTGCTTTACACAATTGATGTATGTATGGATTGTGATAAGAGTTGTATGAGCCCCTAATAAAACAATTAAAAAAAATAGGCAACCATATAAAGATGATAGCTGGTTAGTGATTGGCAGAGGTGGGAAGGAAAGGGGGAGCCATTGCTCCGGGGTCTCCGAGCTTGTTAATGATAGTGCAATAATTTAGAAAATTGTGTTAATGGTTGCACAACATGATGAACAGAACCCATGTACCCAAACTGTACACGTTAACAATTGTGGGTGTGGAAAATGCTTTGTTACATACATTTGTACCACAAACACAGGCTGGATTTCCTGTGGGCTGCAGCTCTGACTGAAGCCACTGTTCCTGTTAGTTCTGCCCTTTCTCCCTCCAATCTGTGGACCAGGGCCTGGGGCGCGTATTACATGCCACCATTAACCTGTGCCAGGTCACAGAGGATGGAAAAGAACGAACTGTGCAAGGCTCCTTGGCCACATTTCCCGCTTGAGCATTAGACTGGGAAAGTACTCCCACAAGGCCAAGCAAGTGCTGCTATCATTTTCCTATCCTCTGGATTAACTTCTCCACTTCTTCCTGTTTTAATTTGTTGGTTTGGAACGATATACTAAGCCGACCAAACACCCAATAAGATGAACTCCACATTTTGGAAAAAGGAAAATAAATAAAATTAGCACTTGTGTAACCCGTCAATATGAAAATGTCAAAATTTTCCCACTTATTTTTTAAGAGATAACAGATGGCAACTCTTGACTCATTTCTAAGTACTCCTTTACTCCTATGAGGTAGATGCATAATAAACATATTTTTATTACTCATATTTTTGTTGTTGAAGAAGTGGAGGCCCAGTGCAGGGGAATTGCCCAAAGTTTCACAACGGGTGAGTGCCAGTTTAGGCACGGAGTCCACTGTCTAGCTGTACACTGCACACTCTTGCTGTACATTCAAATGAAATAGGTTTCCAACAAATGTGAGATGAAACTGTACAATGATAACTGTGGCAAACATTTATTGAGACTTCAACTGGCTACCAGACATTATTGTAGATGTGTCACACGCATTGCCACACTTAACCTTCAACACTTAAGAGTTTAGGTCTTTTATGTGGTGAAAATACATAAAACATAGGCCAATTCAACAATTGCAACATGTTCTATTCAGTGATGATTACATTCTCCAAGTTATGCAACCGTCTTTTATCCTTGTCAAAACATTCCACCATGAACTCAAAGGCTTCTATGAAGCAAAAACTCCTCCACTCCCCACTTGTCTCCCACCCCCGCTAGGTAACCCCGCTGGTTTCTCTGTATTTGCTTATGTCATAAAGAGTGAGCGTATACTTGTTCTCGAGACTTACTTTGTTCAGCATGGCGTTTCCAAAGTTCACCCATGTGGTGGCAAGCACCAGGATTTCTCTTTATGGCGTCATATTCCATTATACATGCGCGCGCGCGCGCACACACACTCCTTTGATTATCCATTCATCTGTTGAACATTTAGGTTGCATCCACGTCTGGCTACCATGAGAAGTTCTACAAAGAATATTGGTGTGCAATTGTCGTTTTAATGACACCTCGATTCAGTGCCCAAAGTTTCAGGTATTAGTGGAACTTTAAAAAAGAACCCTCCACTCCCTCCTCCCTACCCCAACCCCCACCCAAAGGTGATGGTAATTCCCTAAGCTTCAAAGTTCTTGCCCTTCTTCATAAAGGGTAAAAAACGCTGGTGCCTAGTGAAGGTTAATGGCACAGTTACATTTATCAGCTGCTACTTAAACAGCCACTCGCAGGCTCACACATCTCTTGCCCTGACTGACATGTGCTATGTAGTTCAAACCAAGAAAAGCTGTAACTCTTTATTACAAATATTAACACAACTAACATAGAGGTAGCTTTTTATTTTCATTTATAGGTAGATACCCATCTTTTCTTGCACTGCACGAATACATTCCAAAGACAGGAACATTTACAGCAACATGAACCTCAATGACATTTGGGGGGGGGGGGCACTACTCTTGCAATATTTACAACCAAACCGTTAAGACAAAATGCTAATATCCTACATCTTCATTTTTTTTTTTAATACCCTACATCTTTAAAAAAGTTTTTTACCGAGGAAAAAATGGTACTATTTTTGCCCTTTCAGTTTACAATCAATACACGGTTGCCCAATAAGTTTTGCTTCATACTACTTTAGGGTATTTTTAAGTTAAAAAAAAAAATCCCTTAAGGAGCATCCTTGTATACTCCCAAGTACCCAAATCCAAGTAATAGGATGGATGCTGTCAAACAACCTCAGTGCTACGCATTAAAGTGTGGCTTCAGGGAGCATTTCCTGCTGTTTTACATAAGGCCACTGTGGATTATAATTGACTAAGGTGGCCGACAACAATGTAAACCACAGAAGGGAACCAGGAACTGTAGGGAGGTGCGGACATCTTAGCATCATCAGCCATTTCGAATGAAAAGGCAGCATTTACCCGAGGATAGTTTAGAAGGCTTGGGAAATAAGGAAGAATGGAAACAGGCAACAAAGGGAGGCAGTTAGGGAAGTGGGGTTGCGATGAATGACATGGAACAAAATGTGGACATGTTGTGGAATGGGAAAGTGAGATATTCTGTACACCTTCATTGACTTCACTGTAAAAAAGTAAAACAAAATAAAGTGCTACTTCATTAACTCTTGTGATAGCAGGGTGTCCAGAAGTCGCCTCACTATTCACTCTGCTCCAAAGGTGGGACGGTCATTGTACAAACAAGACAAAAACATCTCATTTCGCTATGCCCACGGAATAGGTGCAAACACAGGAGTGGTTCTGAAGGCCCAGCCCCTTTAGACTGTGGTGCCAGAATCACTTGGGAAGCTGTTAGAAATTCAAATTCTCAGTCCCACCCCACCCATGTCAGAAACTCAGCAGTTGGGGTTTATCCTGTGTTGAACAGGTCTGGGGGGCTTGGTGCATGGTACATTGGAGAATTACAGAATTAAATCCTCAGTACTCCCGTCACTATCTCTAGGGGCAGTGAGATGGGCACCCCAGGGCCTTGGCAGTTCAGGCCCCAAACCCCTCCTTCTGTTGACAGCTCTGATGACAGTCATTAATGGAGACTGAGTAATAGGCTCAGTCTATGCACAAGCTACTGTATTCCTGACTCAACCTGACTGGCTGCATGCAGGTGGCTGCTGTTTGCAACGACATGTTCAGGGAAGCGCCGATCACATCAACGCTCAGTCACACTTATCAGAGTATGAAACACTTTTATTCTTCAAAGCAATAAGAAAAAGAGCGAAAACCTGTACTTATTGGTAATCATACTGGCCACGATCAGAATCACACATGCTAGGAGGAGACACGTCTTTCTCTGTGACAGTCCGCACAGGAGCAGCGCCGGCTGTTCTAAGACGTGACAATCCACATGACGCGCTCGTGCTAGTGAGCAAGATCCCAACTGGGAAACGGGACTTTTCTTTGCGGCAGCAGATGACTCTTTAAATATATATACAGATATATACGTATTTAGAGAAAAATATATAGAAAAGCTAATCACCTAATCATGCTAGAGCTTAACAGACCAGCAAAAAAGGCACTTTAAATTACATTTGACAAGGAGTGACCGGAATACAGAGAATGCTAAAGTCCTGCACAAGACTGTCACTGTTAATGTATATTAATAGATCCTGTTTTCATGTGTATACGCACATATGCCTATGCGTATACGTACGAAGGGGGGTCAACAAGTCCGTGGAAAAACTCCATTAACTTTCAACCTGTTTTTCACAAATTTCTTGAAGACCCTGCAGATATATCTCTATGTATGTATGTATGCATATGTAATTGCTATAAATTTTGGGGGGTGGGGGAGAGGAGAGAAAAAAAACAAGCCATTTCCATTCTCTTAACTGAAAACTACACAGAAATCCTGTCACTTTATTTGGAACAAAGAAAGGGAGGATTGGTGTATTAATGCGAAATGAAAAAAACAGTACACCACCCGTCCATGCACACACATAAAAAGCAGTAAAATAAATACAGACGCCAAACTGTCCCAGGCGGTCACTATGAAAATGGTCAAAGCTAGCATCACAAAGGAACACATTCCACCGTGGGGAGCCGGGTGGCAGGTTTTGGTACTTCATCTCACACATTCACGTACCCATATTGCTTACGGTCAAAAGAACCGAATGAGGAGGACAGTTTCTGCACATGCTCTTTCCTGTCAGCACCCACCAAGGTTTAGCTGTGCTGTGGCCTTCTAAACTCTTGTACAAGTAAGAGTTTCAGGATGCCTAAGTTTTCCATATTTGCATGGAATATTGGAAGGGTTCTCGGTACAAACCTGATGGGCACACTGACTGCACACCCCCAGGTGGGGCATCTGGGCTCAAGGCTACGACAGTTGGAACCTATCTGTGCCAGAGATAGACAAACGGCTTTCTCTTCCTTCCCAAGAATGGATGTGTCACATTCTTATTCTTAGGGTAGGAAGAAAATCAATGGCCAATGGCATTTCCATTTTAATTACTAACTGTACGATGCCAGAGAACCAAAAATCAAATCAATTTGTTTGAGATTATGAGTCAGACACTGGGCATTTCCGTTTCTTAGCTGCTGGCTCCTCAGTCTTCAACTCTAAAGTGCTCGCCATGGGTTTGAGGCTGCTGTCTGGTTTGAGGCTGGCGTCTGCCTTGAGGTTGTCCATGGCAACAGTGAAACCCGAGAGGAGGTAGCCGCCACCTCCGCTCATCAGCAGTTTGGGATGACTTCGATCTGGCAAAACCTAGGCAACACAGACAGACTTGATGCACTTCTCAAGCAGAAAAAGTGCATCGGAACATCACACCTGCCGAAACTTGAATTTGACCTAAATTCTCTTGAACACTTAAAAGGTCTGATTCCTAATGAGCTTATTCCCTAGTGTGACAGGAGAGAGAAGTATAAAAAATGGCTGAAGTGATTTTCTTCTGAAAAATAAAACAGAAGCCCAGGTTCCCTTCAACGCGAACCAATTCCCATTGGGGAGAGAAAAGGTACATCAATGGTTTCAGCGCAGCTTTAAACCAATCTCAGCTTCTCCATGCCTTGGCTCCGGGCCACAGATAGAGCTGGGCTCTCTGGAGAGAGAAGTAGCTGGTGGACAGATCTGTACCCAGAGCCTTCATTCTCTGCTCATTCTGACAGGAACTCTTTTTACCCACTGCCACAGCCAAGGCCGAAGATCCCCAAGAAGGGACTGTTTCCCGACGAGGCTCGAGAGAGCCCTATCACAGTGTGGTCACTAAGAGGGCCGGCAAACCACGGCAGAGCTCCCTTTGTATTAGAATTGGCCAGAGGGGGAGCAGGCAGTGGAAAGCACCTCTGGGATCTGCTGTAGGGTTCACATCGAGGGAGCCCATAGGTGGCTCTCAGGCGATAAGTGAGCACGAGTCCCAGGACTGAACCGTCTCTGCCTGACGCACTCTGCTCTGGGGCTCCAATCTGCCTGATAAGCACTGCAGGCTCATCTGCCCATCCTCCTCCTCCACACGCCTGCCTCCTGGTCTGAGGGCTCTCCCTGCTGCTCTTGTTCCCTCTCCCCTGTCACTCTAAGGCACTTCTCCCTAGTATTCCCATGCCATATGCCTCCTGGAGGACCTCGATGGACATGGCGCCCAACAGTAAATCCTAACAACATGCCACAGACTTCCCAGCATAGAGAAGAGGGCCACTTTCTTGTCTGCCTGGAGATTTTGCTATCAATGACTCCCTCCTCAGTGACAGCGAGGTCTTGGTGAAATACGAACTATAACAGTTTACATCTTACCTCGCTGTGGACTAGAATTATACAGTAATACATTTGCAGGACAGCATTTCCTTTGTTACAGGCAGGGGCATTCTCATCTCCGTAGACAGAACTAGGGATGCCTTTATTTAACTGGTTCCAGCTTACTACCAAGGAACCCTGGTGGCTTAGTGGATTAAGGGTCTGGCTGTTAACCATGAGGTCAATGGTTCAAAGGTAAGGTGACCAGACGTCCTGCTTTTTAACAATTTTTCCCACGTCCCGCGGTGTTTTAAAAAAGTCCTGATTTTTGGAAAGAATGCACGACAAGCTAGGGTATACGGTTTTCGGCTGCCATGTGGCTATTTCGCCAGGATATGAGTTTGATCAATGGTGTCCTGCTTTACCAATGTTAAAATCTGGTCACCTTATTCAAAGGGAACAGCTCTGCCCTGTCCCCATCAGGTACAGGTTTACAGTCTTAGAGCTACTCTGTCGTATAGGATCTTGTAAGCCTGAATCAACTTGAAGGTAGTGAATTCGGTTTTCAATAGAGTTCACTACAAAGAACCAAGAACCCAAGAGAGCTGCCCGTGGAGCTGGTAGGAAGAACACATACCTGGTAATTTCTGAGCCAGGTTTCAGAGAGCTTGAGGTTGATGACCCCTCCCCTTTCCCGTAGTTTTGTGTAGCATTCCAACAGAGGCTGAAGACAGAAACAAGGCTCAGTTAAGAATCACTCCTTGGGAAACCATTTGAGAACCTGCATTCAGTTACCAGTTTGCAGCCATCCCCGGTCGGATTACCTCCTTATACTGGCAGTAGACCACGAAGGGCCGTGAGGGGGCCACGAAGGGCAGCAAAGACATCAGCAGTGGGATGGGATGGAAGCGACTTGCTACAATGAGACTGTGGAGAAAATGTCAAGACGGATTATTTCTCTGCTCCTTCAGAGTGAAGCACAAGTTCTTACACGCGTTTAAAATAGTCATGTATTTCTGTGCATGACTCACTCAGAGGAGACCTAAAGAGGGCATTCTCGAAACCCAGGGAAAACAGAGCAAAGCCCCATAATCCATGAGCTATTTATTACTTTCTAGGAGATAGAGGCTGGGTGAGAAACACAACAACTTGGCGACATTCTTCATCAAACGAACCACCAAACACAACCCTGACACAGCAGTCGTACAAGTCTTCTGGGGGGTTTCCATTAGCCCGTGCCCCTCAGTCACCAGCACAGCACTTTGAATGCCAACCATATGCACCTAGTGGGACTACATTTGCCCATCCAATATGTCATCATTGAGACATTTCACATTTCTTCTAAAATCCTTAAGTCATCCATCTCCCACCTTCATCAGATCCAGCGTCCTTCCCCCAAGCACTGGCAAGCACCACCCCCGCCCCCCCCCAACTGCATGTCCACAACGCACCCATCCGCGTTTCTTTCCTTCAGCAGAGCAGCAGCTTCCAGATGCCGTTTCCTCTGCTCGTCTTGTCTCCTCTGCTTTTCCTGAATCTTCAGGGAGAAAAATAAGAAACTCAAGGACTGAGCTCATTCCGTTAGCTTTCTGGAAATGCTGGTCTGCCAAAGGTTTGGACAGTGTTTTATCTACTTGCAACAGTGTTTATCTACTTGGAAAGCTAAACATATACGAACAAAGTCTACGCATTATGGAACACTATGAAACTACCTATAGAATGCTTCTGTGTCCTGAATCTCCATTCCAAAGTTTACAACTCATTCACTCCCTCTCCAAAAGTTTCAATATTTCTCATCTTAGAGGAGGAGACTCCACGGACAAACCAAATCCCATTCCTTCAATGAAGGGAACGGAGGATCTGACCTGTGCAGACAGGGTAGCAAGAAACTCTGGACGTGCTTACGTAATCCCGTCTGCTTCCCTTCTCTTTAGGTCCCTTATATTCTGGATCTTCGAGAGCAATTTCCATGCTTTCTGGTTCTTCGGGGAGGGTGCTCTCTGGGGCCTCGGCCACGCTGTCTTCATTCTCCTGCTCTGGTGCCTGTTTCTCCTCAAGGCCGTTCCTCTCCTCCACGGTGGCGCTGTCTTTGGGCTCTGGAGACAACATCTCTGATGAAAATGTCCCATTTAGAAGACTGTCCACTTTGTTAAGGGGAAATTCATAAAGACCATTGAGGAATGACTTGGGAAATCCAAAACAGGCTGTTGCTGCCCGAACAGGTCCCCCTCCAGTGTACAGCTGAATAATGGAGCCAAAGCCTGATGGAGAAAAGAAACACAAATCTGCATGACACAGGTGAGCTCAGACATCAAATTTTCTCATGATGTCACGGCCCAGCCACAGCATTACATAACCACCGAGCCACTGAGAACTGTAGTGCAGCCATGCAAACCTTAGCCATCACACGCAGTTACCACCACACACAGTTACTCTGGGTTAGCACCTGGGTATTTAGGACTGCCGGGCATACAACATTCACGCACAGCAGTCACGTAGATTTGTGACTACGGTTCTAAGTGTGTGATGTTGGGTAACAAGCTGAGTGAGGAGTAGGTGAACTGTAGAACCTGATCATGCTTATGTTCTCTGGGGTCACAGGGAAGGAGAGAGCAGGCGACCCCTTTCCATAATATATCCCTAGTACTCTTTCTGCCCAATCCCTCAATCCAGGCCAATAAGACGGGTCTCAGAGATCCGGCCAATTCCTGACATTGCTGTCCTGGGAGTCCGAGACAGGTCCAAAGTCCAGAGGCATCCCCATGGACACTGTAACTGCAGAGGACAACAACTAATACGTGCTGCAGGTTGTGCAGAGGCTTCTGGGGCAGAAGCCATGCAGGTTCACCCAGGTCTTTTCATCAACCTTGCAGCAAGCAACTCAACACTTTTCTGTTTTTCAACACTTCTTTTCATGAGTTTAATTCCTTTGGACCCTCCAGTCACATCCTGGTGGTCCAGTCCTAAACTTGAAAATGTTAAATCTCACCTCCCATTCGCTCCATCATTGCACCCAGCACCAAACCCGCACAGGTCTCCATGACAATCATTTTATTGCCGGCGCGGATATTCCCGAACGTCAACATCTGGGCTAGGGTATCATACCTCATGTGGCTGAGAGACAAAAGAAGGGCATGCTTAGTCTGGGCTACGGAAGACCTGCTGCTTTTACCACGATTCGTTCAAATACTGCACACATTATGGTGATAGGCTACTGATGGCGTTGGAGGGGCAAGAAAAGGGCTTAGGATTTATCAGATAGGAGGGCATTTTATGCAAGTAATGTTTTCATTTTACTTAAAATCAGGACTTTCTTAAAGATAGGTTCTGCACCCCCATATGTGTTTGGAAGGAAGCCGCACGTACTTGATCTTTCCAGGCTCTCGCGCGTAATACATCACGGACAGAATCCGGGTGGAGGGCTTCAGCACAGTGACCACTGCCTCATATCTAGGGGGAGGACAGACAGCAGACAGCAGATCTAGGAAGCTGCATCACAGAAACACCTGGGAACGGTCTTCGTTCATTTCAAACAAAAGCCACTTACTTCTTTTTCTTCTTTTTTATATACTTATCTTGAGAAAATTCTGTCTTGTCTCGGAAGGTGGTACTATTTTCAATTAACTGCTGGACTATTTCCTACAAAAAAAGCAGAGCGTGGGCTTTTGGAAGCTACTTTCACACAACAACAAAGTGCAAAGGTTTCGACCCCCAGGTGTATCCAGAGGTCTGATTCTCGAATCCACTTCCCACAGAACTCCACAGAGATGGACTTGTACTTTCCTTCTCTACCTAGAATTTGTGTGAAACCCAGATGACAGAACAGTGGAAGGCAGACAAAGGGAAACTGTCGATCCTGGAGACAGTCGGTAAGCACCGTACTGAAAGTCAACGGTAAGCGGAGGTGCACAAAGCTAGTGCATGCTTGATGAATAACACTATCAATATTATCATTCACTTACTCCCCAATGCATAGCAAAAAAGCTTTGCACTGTTTATTTTACATTAACTAAGTCCTGCTTTAAAAACCACATCCTTTTCTTACTGAATAAACAAATGGGTACAAAACAAGACGTTCTTTAAATATTACCTCTCCTTTAATGCCTTTGTCCTTCAAAGCTTTTATGTCATCTTGAGTCAGTTTCTGAGACTTTCCATCATCGACTATGTTTCGATTGTCAACACCTGCTTCTTTAGTCTCTGGGGGAAGAAAGGGGCTCTATGACATGGGTGAGCTGAACGATTTCACTGTTCACTCTTGCTACGTCCATGTCCACACGTAGCGTCAAGCACACTAACGTCATCTTCCGGCCCCACAATGCTTTCTCAACACTAGCACTTTCTCATTCATTGCCAGCAAGTCAATTCTGACTCACAGCAACTACTACTCTCCCATGTTCCTGTCCCATTCACGTGCCCCCTTACCATACACCAGGGAGCAACCTTTATTTAAATGCAAACCTGCTCACCCTGCCCTATGCTCAAACCCACAGTGGGTTCAATGAGACTATATTCCACACACAACCTGCAAGGTTGCATGTGATCTGGCCCCAGTCTCCCTTCCCTGGCCGTATCGATTGACCGTTGGGCTCTGGGCACATTGTTCTTCTGTCTCCGGCACACACCACGCCTGGGCCCACTGTGGAGCTCTGGCACTTGCTGCTCGCTGTCGGGAACATCAGTGACTGGATCCTTTTACTCCTTCAGGGCTGAATTCACCCTTTCAGCAAAGGCTCATGCAGCCAGTCAGGACCTGGGGCACTTCTTGCTTTTATCATCTTCTCAGCAAATATCACCATCTGGAATTTTCCTCTTTGCTTGTCTACCTGATTATTTTCACCATCTGGAATTTTCCTCTTTGCTTGTCTACCTGATTATTTTCAGTCTTCCACACTGGGTAAGCAGATTTTATGAAATCTCCTTGTGTATGTATTGCTACAATCCCAGTGCCTCTCATGCCTAGGACATATATGGTATTAAAATTCTGAACATTAAAAAAACATAAGACCAGATAATGAAATATAGACAAAACTTTAAACATATTTTAATTAAAAAATTATAACTACAAGTTTAAGGCCCTTATCTGGGGCTCTCTACTTCTATACACTGTTACTGTCCCGGAAACTCATAGGGGCAGTTCTACCCGGTCCTATAGAATCACTGTGAGTCAGCATGGACTTGATGGCAGTGAGTTTGGTTTCTTTTTAGGGGAGGGAAGCGGGGCTTGTGGTAGCCATGGCAGGCGAGGAGCCTGTGTGGGCCCGTGAGTTAGGCAGTGGGTGGCTAATCACAAGACTGGCAGTTAAAACCCACCAGCTGATACCTCAGAGGAAGAGGCTTTCTGCTCCTGTAAAGATTTACCGTCTCAGAAACCCTACAGAGGGGCTGCTGTGAGTGAAAATCTACTCAAGTCGTGGTTGTCAATCAGGGATGAAGTCACGTACGGCCTCATTTTATAGGTGAAGCTGTAAGGTGTAGAGAAACCATATTACGTGCTCAAGGTCACAGGCAAGTGACTAAGCATTTAATCCAATTGGTTGTATTCAAAGCCAAACCTCTTAATCTTTACAGGCTAACTGCTTTACGGCTATGACTGCACATCTGGACTACAAGGGCACTGAACTGTTCTTGTAATGATGAAGTAACCAAGAGACAGAGGTCAGTGAGTCAGGTAATGGTGTGCTGGGGTCAATCATCTGGTCGCTCAATGCCCAATGTCCAAGCACTTGATCAAACTATAGTAAGACTGGCCTTTTTGAATGTGGGGGAGAAAAGGGGAACCAATCACAATGATCTACATATATCCCCTCCCAGCAGAATGGACAACAGAAAGGTGGGTAAAGGGAGACAGCGGTTGGTGTAAAGATACGAAAAAAATTTTTTTTGGTAAATTATCAAGGGTTCATGAGGAAGGGAGTGTGGGGGAGGGGAAAATGAGCTGATACCAAGGGCTCAAGTAGAAAGAAAATGTTTTCAAAATGATGATGGCAATGTATGTACAAATGTGCTTGACACAATAGATGTATGTATGGACTTTGATAAGAGCTATAATAGCCAACAACAACAACAACAACAAAGACTTAATAAATATTATCCTTAAATTTAAAACAACAACAAAAAAAGATTTGCCTTTTTCGGGGGTGGGGGAGATACCCTAAACTACAACCCATTAACACATTGCCACTGAGCTGACTGACTCATGATGACTCCACAGAGCAGAGAAAGCTGTTTCCTAGGTTTCTGAGACGGTGAATCTTTACAGGAGCAGAAGCCTCATCTTCCTCCTGCGGAAACACTGGTGGATTCAAACTGCAGACCTTATGGTGGCAGCCCAGTGCTCATCCCACAGCGCCACCATGTGACATCCTTGTCTAGTTGGTCTGAGACCATCCACTTCACTGGCCTAGAGCAGCGCACCTGAGGTGAGCTCTTCCTTCTTCTTCTTGGGCTGAAGGCTTCCTCCACCAGCCACTTCAAACGTGGTTCCGTAACTATGGCCAATGACATTATCCAGATAGAACCACTGCTTCTCAAAAGTGATTTTTCTGGGGAAGAAAAAAAAAAGCAATCTCATTTGCATTCTGTAGAGAAAAGACATGCCCATTCTGATGATCCCCGGTCCCCGCCTCCCCCCCGGAAAAAAAAATACGCCACCACCCAAATCTTCACAAAGGTTGATTAGCAGCATTGTTTTTTAACACAAACTCGCTGGTAAGCTAGAGAAATGATTTGGAGCACAGACGTAAAATCAATAAACGAGTCACAAAAACACTGAATTCTGGGTAAAGGACATAAGGGTGGAAAGCGTGCTTCTGGGGACATTTGTCTGACCCTACTCTGTGACAGGATGCCCAAGCTCCCAGGTGCTACAATTTCTTAAAATAGTAAGGCCAGGGTTGCCCAGATAGCCAGGCCATCAAGAGAGCCAGGTAATTGGGCACAGCCTGGGAGATTCCTTGACGCTTGCACAACAAACCTTCAAAATGGAACCATACCTGGGCTGAGAATACCTCAGTCTCATCGGCCACTTTATGGAGGTGGGTGAGGAGGAAGGAGGCAAATCATACTGACAAGCAAACACTGCTGACAACCTATACAGTATGAAATGGTGTCTTAACACGGACAATGCTATTGTGGGGATCGACCACTTTAGGGTTCCCATTGCGCAGATTCTCACCTTGTTGAGGTTTAAGAGGGAAATCTCAAAAACCTTTCTTTTCAAAAGAAGATCATCTCTGTTGAGCATTAAGTAGGGCTAGACAGTAAGTGCCAGGTACATTTCAGATGCTTTCATTTAATTTAGTCCTGAGGTCTAGATCCCCCTAAATGAGGCATCAGAGGCTGGAAGAAAAAGATCCTGTCCAAGAGTCACAATTACCCAAAAGCCTGGCTCTTTCCACTATCCTAAAGTCTATCCCATTAAAGCTAGAATGGCTCTAACTCAGCCCAGACCGGCTTGCATCCCCCACCTCACCTTCTGAGCAGCACCTCAGTCTAAGCTGGGCGGGACTGGCCTTTTGCTGGCCAATCTGACGGGCAGGAGGCAGCAAGGTGTCACCCAAGTTGTTAGGTCTGCCTGTAAGACGGCTGAGGAAGACACATGCTCGCTGGGGAGAACTGGGATTTGCAGTCTCCTCAGAGAGCTAGAATTGCTGCAACCCATCCAGACAGAGTGCAGCGCTGAGCGATGGGAGATCGGAAGCCCTGGCCGGGTTTGGTGCAGCGATTTACTGGATATGGTTCTCTTAGTCTTTGTAACTCCTATCAAACAATTGGATGGGACCAGGCAGTTTGGGTGTATTCCTCTTTCCTGATGGGTCTGGGTAGGGGAAAGTGAAAGAGGATGCTGATAGAATTATGACTCAGTTATGAATGGTGTTAACAGCATTCATTTTGATTGTAAAAACTTGGAACTCTCACGTGGGGACCGGTCGATTGGTCAAAGCTAACCACAAGGTCGGCGTTTCAAACCCACCAGTTGCTTTGTGGGAGAAAAATAAGGCAGTCTGCTCCTGTAAAGATTAGTCTCGGAAACCTAAGGGGGCAGTTCTACTCTGTCCTAAGGGGTCACTATGAGTTGGAATCGGCTGGATGTCACTGAGTTTGGAGAATTTTGCTGGCTATAAAAGAAGCTATTGCAGAAGCAGGAAGGGTGAGGGTATGAGCTCTATCTCACTACCACCAGGAAAGATGAGTCAGGAAGGAACGTTTCCTTTGGATCCCAATATCCTTGTGCAGTGAAGTGTCTCAATCCAAGGGACACAGGGCTGTAACACCAGAAGAAGAGCAACACAGAAGCAAGAGTCAGCGCAGGAGACTGAGCAGTGGGCTTTCTGGTCCACAGAATGAGTAAAGCTGGTGCCTCTGGGCAAAGGTTCACTAGAAAGTGAAGATGCTTCCAGGCACTTACGTGGGGGGTCGGAGCTAGGTTGCTGACTCACAAAGATAGACCTGAGTGCCTCTCATCTGACGCTTATGATGGAGTGACATGTCCTTTGGGCATTTATCCACACTGCCATGGGGTCAATGCTGACCCATAGGCACCCTGTAGGACAGGGCAGAACTACCTCTGTGAGTTTCTGAGGCTGTTACTGTTTACGGGAGAAAGCCCGCCTTTCTCCTGAGGAGTGGCTGGTGGTTTTGAACTGCCAACCTTGCAATCACAGCCCAGTGTGTGACCACTGGGCATTTATTAGCAGTGCTCAAAGAGCTTTGTAACATTGCCTGAGCAGGGCAGATGTCAAGGGGTCACATGGCTGAGGGGTTCAAGGTCCAGAGAGAGGCCAGCCTGCAAGCATGACTAGGAAGAGGTTGTCCTGACCAAAAAACTGTGTCCTGAGCATTTCTGGTCCTTAACTGTAACTTGTTCGCTTCCCTAATAAACCACAGTTGTGAGTACTGTCTGAGTTCAGTGAGGCCTTTGCAATGCGTTATCCAACCCAGAAGAGAAAGAGTGCTATAGGAGGAACAGTTGGCGTCAAACTTAGTAAAGAAGGTTGGAGAGTGAAGGCATGCCTGACCTCCAAATCACAGGAATCAGCCGTGGGTGAAGGAGCTTGATTTTCCTCCTCCCTTACGACCTCAGAGGTCAGACACTGCCGTGTCCTTCTTACACCTGAATTATAGCTGAAGTCAGGGGAGCAACTTCTAAATAAAACACTACTATGGTTTCTGCTGAGAAAAGGAGCTGATGAAAGTACTTCCAAATGAATGTCTCCAGAATACAGGGGATGAAATGTTCTTGTGTAAAAGAGTATACTATTAGGATGCATACTCAACCACATCTCAAAAGTAAGCACTTCAAAGGACGGTAAAGGGAAGAAAACATAGTTGCAACTGGATGATCATTACACAGATGCATAGCTTTTGAGATCATTCACCAAACTATACATTTATAACCTAAGGGCTTCAATTCAAAGTTTTAATGTTGGCATCTTTCCAAAATCAATGTATATACAAGCAAGCACATATAGATTACTAATTAAAAATTCTGAAGAGGAATAAAAGGGGGGAGATAGCAAGGTACAATAATAACAAAATCTCTCTAATTTTGTTATAGATTGGATTGCATCCCCTCATCCTGCCCCATCCCTCTCCCCCCAATATGTGTTGTCAATCCTACCTCCTGTATTTGAGAATGTAATCCCATTAGGGAATAGGGTGTTCTTTATTATGACAATGAATTCATAATCAGAGATATAAATGGAACAGTAAGGCAGAGAAGCAGGCAGAGATGGGAAAGACAGCTGCCAGTCACATCAAGAACGACAAGGAACAGAAGAACAGAAGGTGATAAGGGACAAGGACCTTCCCCCAGAGCTGACAGAGAGAGGTTTATACTAGAGCTGGCACCCTGAATTCAAGAGTCTTAGTCTCCTAAGCTGTGAGTAGTTCATTTCTGTTTGTTAAAGCTGTTGATTTATATAGCAGCACTTGGCAGGTAAGGCAAATTTCAACCACCAAAATGAAATCTTTTACCACGGGAGAATGTAAGCTTTTTACTTAAATGCTGGTACAGGTATTTCTAGACTAAAAGCTATACAACCCCCTAGCTCCTATTTTTAAATTTATTAACTAGTATTTGTGCAAACAAAAATACAACTTGTATATCACCAGCTTGGTGTTTGGGAAATTCTGACCCATTTTCTAATGATACCTACTTTGCTTTAAATATCAGCCAACAGTCTGATTCTCAGAGGGTTGAAATCATTCACGATCTGAGCCTTGGCAAATGGCAAATTTCACAATTATCACTTTCTCAGTCAGAACTGATGCATTTGGATTCTGGCACTGGCGAAGAATATTGAATAGACTACCAGAAGAACAAATAAACCTGTCTTTGAAGAGGTACAGCCAGAGTGCTCCTTAGAGATGAATGAAGATGGTGAGACTTCATCTTGTGTACTTTGGACATGCTATCAGGAGGGCCAGTCCCTGGAGCAGAATATCAAGCTTAATAAAGTAGAGAGGGTCAGGGACCAAGAGTAAGGCCTTCGAGAGGATGAACTGACATGGTGGCTGCAGCAATGGGCTCAGACACACCTGTTGCGATAATGATGGCACAGAACTGGGCAGAATTTTGCTCCAGGTCTTTCACAGGGTGGCTGTGAGTCAGAATCAACAGCCCCTAACAGGAGCAGACGCTTTCTGGCCTGCAGAGAGCTGCTCTCCTTACACTGCATTCAGCTTATGTAACGTGTCAAAAGTACTACAATCATCCAGCTCAAAAGAAAACTCGTCAGGTAAATGAACCCAAACAGCCCCAATACATTTTCACTGTTATCCAGGGTTGGGCTTTAACAACTTTGCTCCCTACCCTGTGGCAGTTAACAAAATGTCCATTTCCTAGCACTCAAACCGAGCGCAGGTTGAGACCTTGAGCAAGTTGCTTGACTTTTGCTGACTTCGCATCCCTTGGTGTAAAGTGAGGTGATCCCAAACGGACCCCAGCCTCTATAGAAGGTTATTTCCACTCTTAGCCCGCGCAGACAGGTGTTCCTCGAGAGCAGGGGCAGACGGCTGGAAAGCTAAAGACAAGGTCGAGGCGGAATTGGAAAGGAAGGTGGTCTACGGAAAAAGCAAAGGGCAGGAGACCCAGAGAGGAAAGGGCGATGGGTGGGGGGTGGGGCAGGTCTCTGGCAATCTGGAGACGATCCTATGGGCCCAGGAAAAGAACCCGTGGCCAGAATAGCCGAGGGCCAAGACTGGGCCTCTGGAGGCGGCGCTCTGTGGAAAGTTGCAGAGGGATGCTGAAGGCAGGGGCCCAAGTCTGAAACCCCGGCGAGGGGACCTGATAGGAGGAGAAGGGGAAATGATAAGGATGGGAGCCTGAGGGGAAACGGCCTCCGTGGGAAGAATCCAGAGGAGACAGCGAAGGCAGAATGGAGACCCAGGGAGCCAAAATTGGGCCGTGGGTGGGAGGGATCTGAATGGAGATGAGCTATCGCTCAAGTGGGGTTCAAAAAAACAAAACCAACCCTTACAGAGTGCGAGCTGACTTACTTTTTCCGCTGGACCTGAACCGCTTTGAGTACATCTTCGCGTTTGAGCACCACGAAGTCGCCGTCTCGGATGCGGTGGTCTCCGGGCTGCTGGGGTAGGGGATTTGGCTGTGGGGGCTGCGGGTCTGGATGCTCCCCGGCGCCCTCCATGGCGTTCCACCGGCTTTCACTCCGCGAGGTCCTGTCTCCCCAACCACCGCGGACCAGCAGCCCTCCGGCCGGCACCGCCCCCACGTGCTGCGCGTTGCTTCCGCTTTCCGGCCCGCCTGCCGGACCACTTCCGGGAGCCGCACGCCTTCCGTTTGGTGGAGCGCCTTGATTGGCTGCATTCCGTCCCGCCCATCCGGTCCCGCCATTTCCTGGATGGAGGTAGCGTCACGGAGGCGCCAAAACAGAACTCGGAGGGAGCTTGGGCTTTAAGTCACTGGACGCGTGCGGCGTTCTGCACGCTACACACCTTCCCAGACTTTCTGGGAAAGTGTGGAAACGGGAAGTCCCTTTCTGGGAAAGTGTGGAAAAGCGGCAGGAAAAGGGGAGTCCCAGAGCCGCCCTGCCAGGCGGGCCCCGGCCCCTCGCTGCGGTTGCGGAGAGCCGCTGGCCGGGCCGGGATTGCCTGATGAGCGCGAACCTCCGCGGCTCCTTCCCGGCGCTGTGGCTGCTCCGCTAAGGGGGGAGAGCCGAGCCGGACCAGAGGGATCATCAGCGCCGACCCAGGAGCCGATCCCACCGTGAGCTAGGAGAGCTTTGGCTTGAATCTTTCTTGCAAGTGAGAAAGTAGACGTAAATAAAGTAGGCTCTTGAACGGAGTGCAGCTATTTCACCGGCGGTTCCTCTATTCACGCTCCAGTTCTGCTTCTTGCGTTTGCGTTGGAACACCGTGCTATCTCTGCTGAGAGAGATACCGGTGTAGTGTGGTTGAAGGAGTGCCGCTTCTCTCCACTGTCACCGAACGACGTTGATCCGGATCAGTTCTTTTCTCTGGGCTTGGTGGCGGTGTCGTGGTTTCGCATTAGGCTGCTAACCTCAAAGTCAGCAGTTCAAAGCCACCAGTCGTTGCACGGGAGAATGGTGTGACTTTCTATTTTCTTAGAGTTACACGCCCCAGAAACCCCTAGGGGCAGTCCTATAGGGTCGCTATGAGTTGAAATCGACTCCATGCGGTGAGTTTGGTTTGGGGTCAGTGCCTTATCGTGTAATATGGTCTAGAATCTAGAATCATCTAGACTAGACGATTACTCAGATCTTGTTTTAAACTTGTGTAGTTACTAACTTATTCATTAAATCTCTTTTAGGTTTCCAGTAGGTTCTTGTAATGGAGTGCACTATCGTTTGTACATATGTTGCCATCAACATTTCCAAAACATTTTCTTTCTGCTTGAGTCCTTGGTATCAGCACCTCTTTTCTCCCCTCCCTGCCATCCTCGTGAATCCTTGACCTATTATGTATTATTGTTATTTTGTGTCTTACACTATCCGTTGTCTCCCTTCACCCACATTTCTGTTATTCGTCCCTCTGGGGTGTAGGCTATATATACAACCTTGTGATGGGTTCCCTTCACCCACTCACCCCACTATTTCCCCTACCCTCATGATATCCCTACTCCCACTCCTGTTCTTGAGGGTAAAGCCCAGTTTTGAAGGTCATTCATATTTTGGTTTATTGCAACTCTGCCATAGCTGTGAGTTCAATAAAAGCGAATTAGCCACTATATACAAAATAGAATGAATAGAAACAAAGGGCTATATTTTATATTGTATTATCATATAGAGATATGCTTTCAAAATGTTTCTTTTAAAAATTTTTAGTTAAAAGGCGCAAAAACTCTTCTGGCAAGATGGTGATCTATACAAACATGACTAAAACAAAACCATGAGAGAGACATGGATAAGAGTCTTGAAACCGTGGACTTCAGGAAGAATAGGGAAGTGGATTAAATAAATACTAGAAGAAACAAGAGTGGAAATAGATGGGTGAATTGCTGCATAGCAAATAAGACTAAGCTCTGATTTCTCAGCACAAGCCTGCAGGTATAAAAAGCAATAGTATGACGCATATGAAACTGTGGGGAAAAAACCTTAAACAAGCAGGAATCTTATACCCAGTGAATTGTCCCTCAAATAGAATGCCAAAATTAGAACATTTCCAGATAAACCAATGAAAGGCACTTGCAAACACCAGACTGACCTTACAAGATATACTACAGGGAGTTATTTGGATAGAGGACTAGCTCTGGCAAACAGCGTCCTGCGATTAGCATGCATGACAATGCCTGGGAGAAAGCAACTCAGATATGGAAGCATCCAAAGTAAAGCAGATTTACAAGATTGAAAATTGACAATCAGCGATAGCCATTTTAATGAAGGCCATTGCAAAGTAAAATGAGAAAATAGTGTGGTTACAGAACTTGGAAATGGAGAGGAAGTCAAGTGGATTCCAAGAGCTTGGGTGAAGGGAAAGGCAGTTACAGTAAGAGAGATTGACCAAGAACGATGGAGGTGAGCGAGCACACTGGGAGGAGTGCAAGTTAGAGGCCATAGAGGTAACTGCTGTTTGTGAAAATGATGCATAATGTGGCCTCCTCCAGCTACACAGGGAGAAGGAGGATCCATCTTCACAGCAGCCCAAGTCCAGTTGCCACAAGGCAGAGGTCAGACATGCCTTCCCTCTGTCTTTACCCTATTCTGACACTGACCATTCTTCCCACGGCACTCTACCTCTCTGCTGGGCTTGCTAATCTTGTCATGGCCACACAGAACTCACAGACAATATTCACAATTATGGGGAGTTATTAGGGAAGATAACAGCATCGTAAAACATTGAGGATACAGTCTGGTCCACAGCAACAACTCTCCTCAGACAGCATCCAAGTCTCTGTGGTCCTCAGCCACTTGATCCCTTGGCTTCTCGAGTCCATTAGGAAGTCCACCTGTTGCTCTGCCTTACAATCTCAGTCTCAGCGCTGTTCTGCTCTGTCTCGTGGTCTCCTTGCCTTCCTCTGGTCTTGGTGTGGGCTGGCCTCTATTGTCTCTGCCATTTCAAGCAGGGTAAGATCTCAAACACTGCTCTACTAGTAGCTTTTCTTCTTTGGTAGCCCCAAGAATTCTCCAGTCAGGTTTCAGGTATGCCTCATTCTATAACCTGGTGAATGGTAAAACTGACCAGTTCCCTCTCTTAGGTTGTCACACTCCCTGTTTGCATAGTCCACTCAATCAGTCATTTGGTGAAGGTTACAGAGACCTGGAAGGAAGAACCATAGTAAGAAATCTCATTTCAGCACACTTGTATGCACAGTCGTGCAAAAATGAAAATGATAATTGTCCATATGAGTAGAAATGTGGATACACATGTGGACTTGTGGGGGGAAGAGTGGGAATAAACTCGCGTGTAGATTTAACAGATATTTGATGTGGGTAATTAACCTTTGCTAAATCTATATCCATGGAGCATACATGGGAGCAAACTTCTTGATTACAATCAGGCACCGAGGGGAATGAACTGGGCCCTCAAAACCATAATCTTGGAACACTAAGGTCAACTGGCTAAACATAGCCCAGAAACTCTACATCCAATTTGGTGAGGAGTGCTTGGAGTCTTAAAAACTTGTGCACAGCCAAGTAGCCAACAAATATTGGTTTCTGCCTTTTCAGAGGAAAGAAGAGTAATGAAAATCAAAGACACATGGAAATAATTAGTTCACACAAATATTAGTTCACACAATTAGTTCACACAAATATCAGTCTCCATTACCCTGAGACCACAAGAACTAGGGGTGTCTGGCTACCACTATCATCTGTTCTGAAAGGGATTGTGTTAGGAGCCCTGGGTAGAACAGGAGAAAGACATGGAACCAAACTCAAAACCATGAAGGGAACCAGGCTTCCTGGCTGGACAGAGACTCATGGATCCCCTGAGATTACAATTCTTGGTCACCCTTCAAGTCTGGAATGGAGCTCACTCTTGTGATTCAGTTTTCAGGCAAATAATAGACAAGTCTCTAAGGGGAATAACAGCATTGTTACTGCAATACTGGGCCATTTGAGACCAAAGGGGCAGTATGTACAATAGGATAGAGTTTAGAAGAAGGAATGGAGACAGACAACAGGAGGAGGTGGTGGTGTGGAAGAGTGAAATTTCTTAATATGGCTCTTCTACTGAACTGTCTGTAACTCCCACTAAATGATTGGGGGTGGGACTGCAAACAGGATGTGCATACAATAAGAGGTGCTATTGGTCAGTTTTTCTCCCTCTGGCCTCATTTTCATTTGTACCATGAGAACTGCTTAAAAATCAGTACAGTATTTTCTTTTTATCCTGGGAGTGTCTGGTATACAGTAAGTCAAAAGTATCGCTACAAAATGTTAGCAACCCTTATTAAATCATATTAAAAAAACACTGCCACTGAAGTGATGTCGACTCATAGTGACCCTATAGGACAGGGTAGACTGCTCCGGTGATTTTCTGAGGTTATAACTGTTATGGGAGTAGAAAGTCCTGTCTTTCTCAGAGTAGCTGGTATTTGCAAATGTCTGACCTTGCTGATCACAGCTCAATGAGTAACAACTATTCTACCAGGGTCCCTTTATTAACAGAAATATCAAAACATGAAGCTATTATTCCTCGACATACACTCCATTTGGTTTATTGTTTTGTTTTAATTTTTTTATATAAATAATTTTATTGCGGCCTCTTACTGCTATTATCACAATTCATACATCAATTGTAATCAAGCACATTTGTGAATATGTTGCCATCACTTTCAAAACATTTTCTTTTTACTTGAGCACTTGGTATCAGCTCCTCTTTTTCCCCTCCCTCCTACACCCTCCCATCATCATGAATTCTTGATAAATTATAAATTATTACTATTTTCCTATCTTACACCCTCCGCTGTCTCCTTTCACCCATGTTTCTGTTGCTTGACCCCTCGGTGGTGGTGGGGGGTGGGGTGGGGGTTATATGTTGATCATTGTGATCATTTCCCCCTTTCTTCCTCCACCTTCCCCCTATCTTCTTGGTATCGCTACTCCCATTACTATGCCTGAGGGGTTTATCTTTCCTGGATTCTATGTGTCAAGAGCTCTTATCTGTACTAGTATACATGCTCCGGTCTAGTTGGATTTTTAAGGTAGAGCTGGGGTCATGATAGTGGGGATGAAGAAGCATTAAAGAACTAGAGGAATGTTGTATGTTTCATCAGTGCTATACTGCACACTGGCTGTCCCTTCCTTGTGACCCTGCTGTGAGGGTATGTCCAATTGTCTACAGATGGGTTTTGGGTTTCCATTCCTACCCCTCTCATTTGCATCAATATGATTGTTCTGGGTCTTCTGATACCTGATCCTGTCGACACCTTGTGATCACACAGGCTTGTGTGCTTCTTCCTTGTGGTCTTTTGTTGCTTCCATGCTAGATGACCACTTGTTTATCTTCAAGCCTTTAAGACCCCAGATGCTATATCTTTTAATAGCCAGGCACCATCAGCTTTCTTCACCACATTTGCTTATGCACCCATTTTGTCTTCAGTGATCGTGTCGGGAAGGTGAGTATCACAGAATGCCAGGTTCTTTGAGCAAAGTATTCTTGTGTTGAGGGAGTACTTGAGTAGAGGCCAATGTCTGGCTGTTACCTTAATATTTAACACAAATATATGTACATAGACCTACATCCCTATCATTATATATAAATATATTTACATATGTACATGCCTATATTTAGACCTCTATCAATGTATTTTGCCTCCTGGTTCTTTTTTCTATTTTCTTTTACTTTTCTTCTGTCCCATTATCACGTCCCACCTTCATTTGACTCTCAGTAATTCCTCTCGGCTACGTTTCACTTAATCAAACTCCCCCAGGTATTCTATGCCCTCCTTGCCATCGATTTTAGATCTCTTTTTCGTCGCTTGTCCTTGTGTTTTTTGACTCCCCTTCCTTTCCCTCACACCTCCCCCTTGCCCATATTCTCCCGGAACTTTTGGTCCCTTTGTTTCCTCCTCAGGATTGTTTATCCTGCCTATCTTATTTATATAGATAGACATGAGAAAAAAGAAAGCCTATAAATAGTTCTAGGCCTGCATTGGGTTTTTAATATTTTTGAAGGCAATGCTTCCATCTCTCTAACCCCCCCCCCCAAAAAAAAAAATTCTGTGCCCTTCAATTTGTACCAGAACAGCAGTTTTGGCCTCTCCATGGGACTCAAATCATGCTTTTTCAATCTTCTTTGTTTGGGGCACAAAAAAGTCTGAAGAAGAACATCAGGGCTGTAGGGTGGTTGCAATAGATTTCCCAGTGAGATTCTTGTAGCACAGCCCTTGCTCTCCTGGAAGAATAAGCAGGTATGTTGTTGTGATGGAGAAAAAAAGTCATTGTGCAACTTTCCCTGGCAGTTTCAATATTTCTTAAATATTATTCCTCTTAAGCCCCACGATCATCCTACATCCGTTAAGAACTCTATCATATGACCCCTTTGTGATCCCCAAAAGGAGTAGCCATAATCTGCTGACCTCTGCCTTGAATTTAACTTACTCAGTAGATCTTCTATGAGCCTACTGTTTTTATTGGACACTGTTTTAAGGCCCCCTAACAATAGTTGCCCTGCTAACTTCAAAGTCACCAATTCAAACCTACCAGCTGCCCCTTTGGAGAAAGATGAGGCTGTCTTTTCCCAAAACAATTTACAGTCATGAAAAATCCTTTGGAGGAAAGGGTCACATCCTATAAGGTCACTATACGCTGGAATCAACTAGAAGGCAGTAGATTTGGTTTTAGTTAATGAGACTAAGACAGATGTTTTACTGAGATCTATGTATATCCACTGACCACAGGGACAAGGTTAAACATGTTTTGTTTAGAATAAACCCATGCAAGTATGAACTGGAATCCTAATAATGGTTTTGGACTTGCTCTCAGACTCGGTTCAGCAGTAACATAGTACTGTCTACCTTAAAAAGAGGTGAGGATGAGAAGAGTTATGCAGATTGGGGTTTGTGCCACAATGTACAAAGATGCAAATCTGTTTGCTAATGTCAAGCTAGAATATATTCATTTGACCTTGTTGACTAGGCCAATGCAGTTTTAGGGGTCTTCTAGTGAAGACTTCCCTCATCTTTTATTTTAAAAGGCATGAGTGGAGAGTACAGAGGCAGAGGATTTGGACGAGGAAGATTTCAAAGCTGGAAAAGAGGAAGAGGTGGGAACTATCCAGGAAAGTGGAAGGAAAGAGAACGTGGAGCTCACCTGAATAAAGCCATAGGGAAGCATACTTCTGGTAGGCGAGGTTCAATTTTGGTTTCCTTGGTCCAGAAAGCCACGCATGTCTATCATACAAGGCTGGTAACTCAAATGTCAGCCTCTCTTACTTGATACTGTACCTTAGCTAGTATTTGAGTAGTAATATCTAAAATTCTTACTGAAACCTCTTATTCAGATATTTTATAAATGTCATACTGGGCTCTCATTGTTGAACGAAGGGGCAACTGGGAAAAGCAATTTTCTATTTCTACTAACTTGGTATTTTTTTCTTCCCCAGAACATACCCCACAGTCTTTGCTACAACAGTCAACATTGGATCGGTTCATACCATATAAAGGCTGGAAGCTTTATTTCTCTGAAGGTAGAGCAAAACACTTGAAAAAAAAGACCATAAATTGTATTTTCTTGTCCATTGGATGCTATTAACTCATAGTATTAAAATTCATTGAGCTTACTGATAATGTTATTCCCCTCTGTACTCATTTTTTCCCCCCTGTTGTCTTAATCCACATAAACAATTAGGTGATGTTTAAGTTTCTGGAGCATTGTATTTAGCTTTTGTTTAAATCAGGAGAACATAGACCATACAAAGCATTTCAAAATGGGAATTTAATTCAGGGAATTGGATATAAAGATAGCAATTTGGATGAGTAGGATTTACTTTGCAAAGACTGATTGTTCTCAGTTCTCAGAGTAAGAGTTCATGTGTTGACTTTAACCTTATTATGATGTGATTTAAACTGTATTATGTATGCTCTTTGAATTAATATGCCGTATTGTCTGATTCAAGACAAAAAGATCCCTCCATGTTGACACTTTCAAAAAGAGACACATTTCCTGTCTGCATTTCAGATTATGCAAATCTAAACTTGTTTTAGAATCTTAAATATACCTTTGACACCAGTTTTTCTCAGTGTAATTGGAATACAAAGAAATTAGGTTGGTGGAGAACCCTCTATAATGTAAGTAATGTTTCTTCTGTCTCATGACCAATATGCTTGTATTTCCTCATGATGGTGCTAATACCCTATTGTTGGATTAGTGTACAGTGACAGCTCTCCATTGATTGAGAAGATTCAAGCATTTGAGAAGTTTTTCATAAGACACGTTGATTTATACGATAAGGTAAGATTCCTGCACAGCAAAGCTGTTAGACCACCTTTATGTGGCGTCTTACTGAACCACATATTTGAGACGCTAGTGCCTGTGATCATACACACTGAGTCAGACTGCCTTCGTTCAGGGCCAGTTCCGCCGTCTATCTGCAATGTAAGCTTTGGTGGATACTAATAGGTGCTTTTTCTAGTCCCTGGAGAGAGATGCTGGTTCTCTCCTGTTATAAACATTTTAAATGAGTGCTTATTTCACAGTCCTTAAGAAGAGTAAGGTAACATCTAACATTACATACTTTCTCAAAGTAGGTAATTGAACACTTAGTGATGGTAGTTGACAGAAAAAATCAGTGATCATTTCCATACCTTGATATTTTATAGGATGAAATAGAAAAAAAGGGAAGTATTTTGGTTGATTTTAAAGAACTGACACAAGACGATGACATCACTAACTTGCTACCAAATGTTTCAAATGAGCTAAAGGATACACCTGAGAAAACCTTGGCTTGCATGGGCCTGGCAATACATCAGGTAAATATTTACTTCATACAGAATTTTAAGGAAGATTCACAGTGGCAATACCTTATGTAAAAGATACTTAACTATTACCAACAGATGTTGGCTAGAATTTAGGACGCAGTTCTGACCTAAAAGATTTGGCTATTATACAATTTACCTAAATACAGGCAGTCCCCAGAATACTAACAAGTGCCATTTCCAAGTATGTCTTTAAGTTGAACTTAGAAATTGAAACAGGTGCATATGCTTCTTACTTAGTCTTACTTTAGTGCAAGAAAAGACTTGAAGTCTTTTCAGTGTGCTAAAAAAAGAGCTGCCCTGCTACAAATAAAGGTGATTGTGATAAAGAATCTGTTGCTGGTGGGGTTGGTTATAAGGGGCTCTGGTGACTTTCTGGTTAAAGCACTTAGCTGCCAACTGAGAGGTTGGCCTCAAAAGGTTTGACCTTACCTGCTGCTCCATGGAAGAACAATATGGGAGTCTGCTTTCAGAGAGAAGTCCAGCCTCAGAAACCCCATGGGGCAGTTCCCCGTGTCAGTAAAGACTATGAGTTGGAATCAACAACATGACAGTGGGTTGGGTTGGGTTTTAGCTTTTTATCAATCATTTCAAAGGATAGTCAAATTTACATAACTTTAAAGGGCAAGTACAAGTTGTCTGTAAGCCAGGCTTTCATACTCTGGCGAATTAGTGTATCAGATTTATTTTTAACTTACTTGGATTAGTTTAATTAAAGATTGTGCAGAAATTAAATCTTGGTTTCAAGGAACTATGCACTCATAGAGAAGATAAGGGATCAAGGTTTATCAGTAATGAACATGGAACAAAAAGATCAACCCCACATGTAGGTTCTATGGCATTTGGCAAGTCACGTAACCTCTCTGAGTGTTCCAGATGAAAAATGAAAATAATAGATGTGCTATGGCTGTCTGAGTTTTTCTTAGGATAAGAAAACAACATATGTGAAAGCATTTTTTAGACCAGCAGACAATCTCAGAGGAAGCACCCATAAAGCATTAGTTGACTCAGAGGCTAGTGACAAGATCCTGTATTTGTCAGGTGTCAAGAAGGTGCTATGTCTAAGAACATCTTTATTTTCTCCATCTTGCTTATTTAGTGAATTATGGAGGAGCTATATATATATGTACATATATATTTATCTATTTATTTTCCCCCACCAGCATTCATCTAACAGGTGGTGGCTTTGGGGTATCATTAGGTCTTTTAGTATTATGTCTAACTGGGGCAGAAGGTAGATAGGGATACTAGGTAAAACATAACCCACTGTAAAACTGTTGTTAGTTGTCCAGTCAACTCTGACTCATGGTGAACAAAACATTGCGTGGTCCCGAGCCAATGCCAGGATCTTTGATATGTTTAAGCCTATTGTTGGGATATACTGGTGTCAATTGGTCTCTTTGAAGGTGAGACCAGTTATATTACATACCAAATTTGAAGTTTATATTGTACTTGAATTTTTTATAGTCATAACATTCAGTATAGAAGTTCTGCACAAAGACTCTATTTTGGTTTCCAACTTTTGAGTAAATGTCCCTTTTAGATATTAACACAGGACCTTGAAAAACATGCAGCTGAATTGCAAGCCCAAGAAGGGTTGTCCAGCGACGGTGATACAATGGTCAATGTGCCGCATATTCACGCCAGGTGAGGGCTTTGCTTGTATTAAAAGTACTAGTGAGAGGAAGGCACTGAAGATTGGTTCAGAATGAAAGTCTAATTTTACAGAGCAAAAGAAATCAGGAAGGAGGAGATGAGTTGTTTCTTTGCTGTCATTGAGCATTATACTAAAGTAAACCATGACAGAAATGAGGCTCTTCTGCCTAAGTTGATATCCTAACTTGTCAAAATATCTGAACAGTTTTGGATACTTACTTACCAAGATGGATGTGTACCTTTAATACCCTATGTAATACATTAACTGGTGTGGTTAGATTTTGTTAATTATTAAGTTTCTGTAGACACAGGGAGCAAAGGAAATGATAGCAGCTGATCTTTAAGAGTCTCAGGCACCACCTTACTGTGTCCCACCAACTCTGGGAGCCCCAACTACCTACTCTTTCCTTTGGCCTTTGTGGGGCAGCAGCCATTGCCATCTTTTTAGGTGCTCAGGGAGCCTTGTTTCCTTCCTGGGCCGCCTGGATAGCCTTTCCTCGCTGAGCCTTTCCAGCTCCAGGTTTCCCATTCCTCTCAGCAGTTCTGTCCGCAAGAGCTGCACCCGTGACTACATGGCAGGTTCTTTTCGTGGGCATTTTTCTGATTGACTCTTTTGTCCAGTGTCCTGTAGAGGACAGTCCAATGTATCTGATGAGGCTTCCTCTTGGAAAAGAATGCCTACTTGCATTTTGCATTATGAAGTTGGAAGGCCTTCCTTTGGGTCTGGTATTATGCCTCCAGTGCCCAGGTGGAGGTTGTACCCACTAAGACCACCCAGCTTGTCCCACAGTGAGGGCATTACGTAGGGTATCTGTGGCAGTGCTCTGTCCAAGGATGGTCTTGGAGTTTGTCTGTATTCTATTTTGAAACGTTATCTTCTCACTAAAAGTAGTGAATAGAGGCTGCCTTTAGGGTTTTGATTTTCCTCCGCATTTTATAGCGGACACTTTATAAAAGTTCTTTTTTCAAAGCTAGACACCCAGATGTTGTAGCACCTATAGGCTTCCCTTTTGGCAATATGGTTTCTTTCCCCAGAGAACAGCCCGTGGGACACAGAAGTAAAGGGGAATTTTAGGAATCATTAGTTGTTTTAAATGACTTTGTTGTGAGATTTCTGAGACATATAGGAGGAATGGAGTTTGAATATCTTTGTTTTTTTCCCCTAAATTTAAATGGAACTTAATTTACATATCATACAACTGAGTAATTCAATCATTCAACCTTATCAATCATTCAATCATGATTGGGAATTGTACAATCACCACCACATCTATCTTAGAGCCTTGCCCTCCCTCCCATGGTTAAATCACCTTCAATAAGAGTTGTGCAATCATGATCCGTTCTAGTGCTCCCCACCCCCCTGAATATCCTACACTTGCTCCTAAAAGAAGCTTATGAAAAGATAGACAACTTTCTATTCATTGTAAATTCATAGCTAAATGCATTCCTGTTTTTGTTTTCAGGGTGTACAACTATGAGCCCTTGACACAGCTCAAGAATGTCCGAGCAAATTACTATGGAAAATACATTGCTCTTAGAGGGACAGTGGTCCGAGTCAGTAATATAAAGCCCCTTTGCACCAAGATGGCTTTTTTGTGTGCTGCATGTGGGGAAATTCAGAGCTTTTCTCTTACAGATGGAAAATACGCTCTCCCCACAAAGGTAATATCACATTCTTTAAGTGTTTGTCTTAAGAAGCCCAGGTGGTGCTGTCAGGTATTCGAAGGACTGGTAGCTGCTAGATTGGTGGTTCATACCTACCAGCTACTCCTCAGGAAATAGGTGATGCTGTCTTTTCCCATGTTTTACTTATGAATCTCATCTAATAAACCCTGTATAGGGTCAATATGTGTTGCAATTGACTATGGCTTTGAAGATATTTGTCTTGGGAAAGAAAGGAAATCGATTTACAGAGGATATTTCCTAATGTTTTTAAACACTGTCTGTTTTAATATATACATCATATCATTTCATAGTTCAATCACGTTAAGTAGAATTGTACAATTGCTAGCACAATCCGTTTCCACGACGTTCTTTTTCTACATGGACTCCTTGACATTGTCTCCTGTTCACCCACCCCCGAAACCCTTCTTCTACTTGCTGTCTTTATAGGCTCATCAATCCTGGTTTTCATGTATTGGTAAACAGAAAAACATACAACACACCTTCAAGAGGGCGATCTCCAGTCGCATGACACTTCTGAGATACACCCTAATATGATAATTGATGTCTTTTTTAGTTCTTGCCCCTTCCATAATCGGGACAATCATTATCCTGGAATTAATGAGTGTTATTTTTATTCACATTTCTGTGCTTTTATTTCACCAGTGCATCCATCAAGTCTTCTTTACTGCTTCTGCTGTTTTGGATGTGGTGTGTATTGTGTTCTTAATTTCTTGCTTTGACTTTTTTGAAACAATAAAATGTAAAACTTTACAAAGTTACAGACAATATAACACTAACTAGCAGTGATACAGATTAAACAATGAAGAAACTAAAGAATGTACCTCCCCCCATTCTGAGTTGGCAAATTATTAATCTTTTCAAGTTGGAGTCTCATTGTTCCCGTTCCCTCTCCCGTCCCCAGAGGCCGCCACTGTTCTCAAAAGGACACAGATTCCTCAAGTCTCCACTCATATACTTAATGAGTATAAAGTTAATAGAGGTTTAATTACTGAAGTTCAAAGATAGCAAAGGCAACTCTGGAAAAGAGTAAGAGGTCGGGCAAGTCTTGGCTCTGCATAGCATTCGTTTTGTTGCGTTGTTTGCATGAAAGGTGTACTGAATATAACATTCTGTGCTGCCCCTCCTGCCTGTTGCTAGACATAGTTTTCGTGTTTACAGTATGCACTGTCCCACTGGATGAATCACCACTACTTATCCATTTTCATAGTGGCTACCATTCACGTTGGTGGTAGTTGTCTACTGTTGCAAATGATGCTGTACAGGTGATTGATTCTTCTTGTGCTTGTGTCCTTCCCAGAGAGATTTCCCACTGATACCATAAGCTTATCTGAGCGCTTCTTTAGATCTTTCTAAATTACTCTTCTGAATAGTGACTCTACCCCCCTACAAGAAAGTATTAGTTATTGTCATTTTCCCATCCCTTCATTACACGTGGAGTTATCAGGCTTTTTCATTTTTGCCAGTCTGATGGATGTATTATGATAGTTCATTTTTAATGTTGAGCATCTTTTTAAGGTTGAATATCTTTTCATATCTTTACTGGCCATTAAATTTCCTCCTTGTTGAATTTTCAGTGTACAGCTTCTATTCTTTATGTATTCTAGATACTAGTCATGGCTGATTATATACATTACAGAAATCTCTTCTTGGGCTACCTATGAACTTTATGTTTTTATTTTTGTTGTATAGTTTTGCCTTTTGACACTGTCATATTGATCAGTCACTTGCCACATAACTTTCACATTTTATGGCCTTTCTCATTCAAGTGTTACAAACATATCTCTTATGTTTTCTTCTAACACTTTTGTTTTTTATATTCAGATATTTAGCCCCTTTGGAATTTCGTGAATAGTATAGAGTTAAAACCCACTGCCATTGAGTCAATGCCAACTCATAGTGACCATGTAGGACAGAGCAGGACTGCTCCCTAGGGTTTCCACTGTAAATCTTTACTGAAATACACTGTCTCATATGTCTCCCATGTGTAGTTGGTGGGTTTGAACTGTTGACCTTTCAGTTAGCAGCCCAACGCTTAACCTACTGTGCCACAGAGGCTCCTTGGTAAAAAGCTAGGGATCTAATTTTATTATTCAGATGAAAAAGCAGTCTTCCTATCACCATGTATTAAATTTAACTGTGTTTCCATTGAAGAATAACTGTGCTCCTATAGACAGGTGAGTCTGTTTCATTTTGCTAGTCCTGTACCAGTTCTAGACTATTATGTTGACATTGATCTTATTTTTTTAATTTATAACTTGCCCTCCCACTTATCCTTGAACTTCAGTAAATTTAACACTGACTTTTTACACATGCAAAGCTTTGAATCTTTAGTGAAGTAAATAATTTCTTGAAGAATTTTAAAATGGCAACACATTATTTTTATGTTTGAAATTCCTAGGGTTTCTTTCTCCGACAGGACTAACAAGTGTGCTAGGTTTAGATATTAATTCTAAATCAATATTGTTGATAAACGAGTGCCTTCTATTAGTTCTCTCAACTTAGGGTTCAGGGCGCCACCTGTAGCCCAAAGGCCAGCATTTCAATCCTGCTCCTGCCTAGAAACTATTTGTTCAATGTATTTACATATCCTCTAATATAGTGAGTAATAACACTGTTAATAATATGAGTGAGGTGTGGCGAGTTCCTGTGTGAATACAAACTTCACTGAACTGAAGTAACCAGAAAGTTACTAATTCTGGTAATCTCTGTTCTAGTCAATTGCTCTGTAACAAATCACCTAAAATGTGGTGGTTTGAAATAACATGATTTCTCATGGTTCCTGTGGGTTAGGATTGTAGAGGAACCAACCACTCAGCTGGACAGATCTGACTCCAGGTCACTCGGGGAAGTGTAGTTACGTGGCGGGTGGAACTAGAAGAATGAGAGCCTGGGGGCTGACTGGATACCTTTGCCTCTCCCTGTGGCCTTCCTGTGGCTGCTTTTGGCTTTTCACACACAGTGTGGCAGCTCAGAGGACTCAACCTGCTCACAAGGCTGCTGACAGCTTCAAGAGTAGTGGCCCAGCTGACAAGGCAGAAATGGCATTGACTTTTATGAACTAGCCTCGGAAGTCACGCGACATCACTTCTGTCATGTTCTTCTGGCTACACAGTGATTCACGAGCCTGCCCAGAATACAGGAGAAAGGGTAGACTACATCTATTGAAGGGGATGTGGCAAGACTCTGGAAAGATTGTGGGGAGATATTAATGGAAGCATATGTGGAAAACAATCTGTCACCACCCCTGACTATGAATCTGTGCGTTCATGTGGAGGTCCAAACAGCAACTTACTAAGGAAGAGTAGAATACAACTTGCTTCTGTGTTAAGGATCGACTTTCTGGTACATTAAATTTGGCACAGACTGTGCAGAAGAAAGCTGGAAGGGAGAGCTGGGGATTGAGTAGTCCTCGGAAAGCCTTTCAAAAGGAAGGGTCTCTGGACTTGGTGGGAGTGGGCATTCGAGGAGGAGATTGCATGGGCACAGGGAAGGAATGAGTGTTTGGAATGAGGCCAAGTGAGGCGTTTCCCAGGCCCACAGCTGAAAGAAGAAGAAGAAGAGAGGAAGCAGGTGGGAAAGTGCCCTGGAACTTGAGATACGGAATAACTGTAGCAGGGAATGGTGCAGTGCTCTCTAATACTGCTGTGAGGCCAGTTTTATAAAAACCATATTAATTAGAGCATTAGAGATTGAATTTTCCTGAGATGTGATTGCTGTTAATCAAAATCTGAATGTGGGGTCATGTTGTTGCAGTGTCCCGTGCCTGCATGCCGAGGGAAGTCCTTTACTCCTCTCCACAGCTCTCCTCTCACAGTTACGATGGACTGGCAGTTGATCAAGTAAGCAATCAGGCTGGTCCATAAAGGCAGGGATAGGCCTCTCTCTCATACTGCCAACTCACTATAAATGTCCTGTTTTGAGATTTTTATCTGTATGTGATAAACTTTATTAAGAGGTTTATTTGATGAGTTTCTGTATTGAACTTATAATTGCCTCTGTTTAACATTTGTTCTCTCTCAGATTCCAGAAATGCATTTAATGTAGAAATGTGAATGTCCTATTCCTACTAAGAAGTAAATCATTTAAAAAAAAACATTTTATTGGGGGCTTGTACAACTCTTATCACAATCCATCCATCCATCCATTGTGTCATCATTCTCAAAACATTTTCTTTCTACTTGAGCCCTTGGTATCAGCTCCTCATTTTCCTCCTCCCTCCCTGCCCCCCCCTTATGAACCTTTGATAATTTATAAATTATTATTATTTTGTCATGTCTCACACTGTCCGATGTCTCCCTTCACCCACTTTTCTGTTGGCCGTCCCCCAGGAGGGAGTTATATGTAGATATTTTAATCGATTCCCCCTTTAAAAATTAGTTCATTTTTTGAGGAGCTGATGCCAGGAGCTTACGTGGGGAGCAAATGTTTTAAGAATGATGAGGGTAACAAATGTACAAATGTGCTTTATAAAATTGATGGGTGTATGGATTGTGATGAGTTGTATGAGCCTCCAATAAAATGATTTTAAAAAAAGAGGGAAACGAAAGTTCATTTTTTAAATCTCAATTATGTGACTAATTGAACTGGAAGTGGACCATAATGAAAGTTGCATTAATTCATTCCATAACGAGCTATGGTAGGAATATTTTTGCAGTTCTAAAATAAAGAATCCTTTACAGAGGGCCATGTTCCACTTCATGTTTTTATTGTCTATGAAACGGTTAAAAACAACCTGTTATTTTAGCAAGTGCAGATGAGTGAGTGTGAGTGTGTATGAGAAAAACCTGACTGAAATAGGGGGTGGTCCAAAAGAACTACGAACCCAGGGGGAAAGTGAGCTGATTGGCTCCCAAGCACCGTCCTCCCGTCTGTGCTGTAAAAGTCAAGGCCAGGATGTATAATGCTTACCGTACACTGCGCTGATATCTGTAAACATCCCATTTGAGCTACATAACCCCCTGGTTTTAAACCCCCTTTTATAGAAGAGGAGTTAGTTAAGACTAATGCAATTATGTGCCGTGTACATGGTGGAGCCTGGTGTCCAGCTTAAAGTGATGAGGTGCTGGGAGGTTCAAGGTAGTATAGATACAGAGATGGACCAGCGTGGGGTAACATTTGAACAGACTCCTGAGTATTTCTACTCAGGTAGAAATAGGTGAGAAAAAGTAAAGACTTTTAATTGGATTTGAATTTCAATCTCCTGTTAAGAATGGATAAACTTCTGAGAAAGGGAGATTACTTAAGTCACCCTCCCCCCCTTTTTGAATATTTAAAAATAATGCTCAGGTTTTTATTTTTATGTATTTTTAAAAATCATTTTATTGGGGGCTCATACAACTCTTACCACAATCCATCCATCTATCCGTTGTGTTGAGCACATTTGTACATTTGTTGCCATCATCATTTTCAAGACATTTTCTTTCTACTTGAGCCCTTTGTATCAGCTCCTCATTTTCCCCCTTCCTCCTCCACCCTCCTTCCCTCTCTCACCCTTGATAATTTATAAATTATTATTGTTTCATGTCTTACACTGACTGATGCATCCCTTCACCACTTTTTGTTAACACCACTTCCTTTCCCTGCCTCCCTTCTCCCATGTCCCCAGGTTTTTTTTTTAAACAGTGTTGCTAACAAAGAATTGGAAGCAACCTAAATGTGTTTTTTTTAAAAAAAGATTATAAGGATAATGATATAATAGATTATGTCAGTGCTGAAGATGTTGCAGGAGAGAATTTAAAAAGGAAATTAAAAATGTTTTATACTTTTTTCAGGGAAAAAATGGTTACAGAATGTTAACTGATGTGCTATCCTGTAACACTCCAGATGTTGTTTTTTTTGTTTTCAAAAGTTAAAAAGCAATAATAAGACACCGACCCATGTTGAGCATATGCTGTCTGGGAGGTGAGAGTGGAGTCATTTTTATTTCATTCCTTCTGTTTATCTCTGTGTTAAAACATTCCACACACTCTCTCTCTATCTGCTCAGACCTGGCTCCTGAAGTCATGACTGAGAAGACAGACTTCATTTTCTCCTAGTGCGAGAAGATTCTGTCATTGGCCGCTGCCAACTCTGGGCTCCTAATCTAGCAAGCAACTCCACAGGCGTACTGTTGGGTGTGCCTGGTTCCTGCTCTCCAGGTGCCTCAGTGTTCTGAAGGGGAGATGGGCTTATGAATGAATTGTGCCTGTGCAGGCGTCCACTGTGGGGACTGCCCAGATCACCCCTTCCACCCTGAGGCACTCTTCCTCCCTCTGAGGGTGCTCCTCCTAGGATTGCCCCTGACCGAAGGATATTTTCTCCTCCAAGGTTGCAAGCCTGGGGCAAGCGAGTCTAATGACGGGCCAATGACTTGTCACTGTGGTGTTATAGAGACCCAGCTTCTGTGCTTCCATTGGAGAGGACACGGAAGGCCCCTCCCAGTTCCCTGAGCCTCTTGGGTCAGTTCAGGGCTCTGCCGCATTTGCATGCACTGCCACTCAGTCCTGCTTCCTTCACTCTTTTTATAGTTCCTAAGAACATTCTCCAAAGAACTGGCTTTGTGCCCCATCTCTGAGACTGTTTTCCATGGAACTCATTGAAATCAAGGTGCAACTTAAAATATTGTTATGAGGAAAAGCTGTCATAGTCACAAGTTACTAGGGTCTCCGTTAGTCTAAGGTGGCCAGATTTTAACATTGGTAAAGCGGGACACCATTGATCAAACTCATATCCTGGTGAAATAGCCACATGGAAGCCGAAAACTGTATACCTTAGCTTGTTGTGCATTCTTTCCAAATATCGGGACTTTTTTAAAACACCGCAGGACGCGGGAAAAATTGTTAAAAATTGGGACTGTCCCGCCAAAAGCGGGACATCTGGTCACCTTATGCCAACTGCTCCACAGGTAGTGTAAACAGGGCAAACTGAGCCTTTATCCCCGCTAAAGGAAGTAACTGCCCCTTGGCCACAACCAGATGATAACGTGGAGACCTGCAGGCCCAGGGTTTGCACGTCTTCAGAGTGTTCAAGAAAATTGGGAGTGCCTGATTTTTATAAGATGGACCCATATTTTCTTCATCTTAATTTTGTTGTAAAATATATATAATAAAAAGTTTGCTATTTAAAAAATTCCTAAAGAAGACACATGGAATCTATACTCTCTTACAAGAAAAGTCTAAAACCTAGTGCTCGAACCATCAGGCCACCTTGGCATGCTGTGTTATTTGGAGGCATCTCTCTGTGATGCTGGCGTCGGAGCAGGACATGGGGGTGAGGCTGCAGGTTGGTGGGATGCCGCTACTTGAAAGGAAGTAGGAGAGTGCTGTAGATGTCTATTGAATGTATTCCAAACTTATTATTTTAACATTCAGGGATACAATAACTATGTAAGCAAGCATTGCACTAAAGTTTTGGTTTAAGTAATACATGGGAATGATTTTAAAAGTTCCATTGGCTTCCTGGTAGATCACGTGCTCGCATCTCTTCCTTCCTGCACTTTACCCTCAGGAGCTGAGGACTTGGAGCTGCTGTCAGTCCTCCCTTTTCCACCTCCGGACTTCTCTCTCCTGTCACTTGTCCTTTACATTGCCACAGTTTGCCTTCTGTTTTCTCACCAAGATTGTCTTTGTGTTTTGCTCAACCATCTCATCTAACAAACATAATAAGCAGCATTTACATTTTTATGATTTGGCAAATGCTCAACCAAGAAGTAAGGTGATTAGCTGCCAAGAAAAATGAAATACAAGTTTTGTTTACTGGACTTGCTTTTGTCCTGGGGGGTTGTTTGCTTCCTTCCCTCTGTTCCTTAAAGGAAAGTAATGTAAGAATCAAAGTCAAATGAACTGTTTATACTTCCTGCCCTTTGGTGGTTCAGATGTTCCCATGTTTTAGTATGCTTTGTGTTTGGATTGCAAATTATTTATAGCATTTAATTTCCCTCTAAGGTTTCTAAATGCCTATTTTACTTCGTAAATATGTTTCCACCATATTACCATGATTTTCTGTTCTTGAATAAATACAGTGTACAGGCTAGCATATACAGAATCCAACCTAAAAAACACAGAAACAAAAATCTTCGGAGCCCCACTTGAGCCCCGCTGTGCTGGGCTCCAGCCCTGCTGCCGCGCTGAGACTTGGCTTCCTTGCACAGCTGGGCTAGTCCAGCTTTTTTCTGGAAGCTCCTTTTTTATCCTGGTAGATTTATTTCCTTATGATTTTTCTAGAGAATTTTCCCCAGGAAATTTTGGAGAAGATTTTCTGGGTCCTTGTATATCTGGAGATATTTTTTATTTCATTCTTACCCTGGAATAGGCATTTGCCTCGCTGTAGAAGACAAGTGTACTGTAATTTTCCTTGCAGTCTGAAAGAGAACACTGTCTTGTCCTTTGTATCCAGTGATGTTGCTGAGGGGTCTGCTGGTGGTCTGAATCTCCTTCCTTTGAGAAGATGGGGCTTCCCCCTTTTCTGGAGCCTTTTTATCCATGATGCTCACACACTTCAGGAGGATGCATCTAGCTGTGTCATCGCCCTGCCTTTGTTCTAGAATTGTCTTGTAGAATTTTTACCTAGTTCCTCTTGTTTTTCTCTGTTCTCTCAGTCTGGCAAATGTCTGATAAAGAGTGGGAGATTATTTGATAATGTTGAATAGGTTTCCTTTGCTGTTAGGTCAATGTAGGATTTTTTTTCTTCACAGAGCCTCACCCTTGAAGAAGGTAAGGGTTTTGACTGTTGATTTCTCGTATGAGTGTGGTTTCGAATGAGGGTTGAGCCCCTCAAATGCAGCAGGAAAGGGTTTTGCTTTTTTTCCTGGAGCTCTCAGATCCTCACCAGGCGCCTAGTCTGCTCATAGGGCGCGGGAGCCTATTCCTTACAACAGTGCTCTGGCTTTTGCTGAGGGTGAATCACGACTTTGCTGAAATGCTGTCATTCTTCCTCAGCCACCTGTCCACTTCTTTCTGAAAACATTCTCAACAGCTGTTCCATGGTGTGTTCTTATGTTGATTATCGTCTTTTTCTTCCTAGTCTCCATCCCTACTGACTCCAGGTTACAAGCCTCTCTAGGACTTTGCTGAGAGCATTGCTTCCTACTTCTCTTGTCACCTTTTTCTGGATTTCATTTTATTTGACCCATTAATACATTTCCATTTACTATCTTCTAAAATCTCACCCATATCTTTTAAGAAACTTATACATAACAAAGTACACCAATCTTCCCGAGTCTACATGTACAAGTCAGTGACATTCTTCAAGTTGTGCGCCTTCCTCTGAGTAGTTCCGGCCATTCAAGTTGCTGTTGTTTGGATCCCATCCGAATCTTAAAGACCGTAATGCACAAGACAGGTTAATGTCTCGTGTTTGCTGATGGCACACTGTCTGCTCCAGCATGTATCTTCACTGTATCAGTGACTGTCATTGTGATGTGTTGTGGAGGGAGGTATGCAAATGCATGTGCTCATTCTGCCAGCCTGAATTGGAAGCCACCAAAACAATCTTAGAAGCACTCTCTTCCCCCAGCCTGCTCTTTATCTAGCCCCATGCCACATGGACCCTGAATGATTTGTATGCTGAAGGAATAACCCAAAGTGAATAAGTATGCTAACTGAACATTGTTGAATTTCTTAGAATTCAGGAGCTAAGTTCTGATGATCACCGAGAAGCAGGCCGAATTCCCCGGACAATAGAATGTGAGCTTGTTCACGATCTTGTGGACAGCTGTGTCCCAGGAGACGTCGTGACAGTTACTGGAATTGTCAAAGTCTCTAATGCTGAAGAAGGTAGGCCATTACTGCCTTCCTTATTTTTATTGCCCCTTAAGAATGATTTGTTTTTAAGATGGATTCTCCATCCACGTAGGGAATCTTTGGTTTCTTTTAAAGTTGAAAGCTTCCCTTACAGTGAAGGTTTATTCATAGTCCACTGTGCCTTTTTCTTTCTGTTTGAACCAGGCTCCCGAAATAAGAATGACAAATGCATGTTCCTTTTGTACATTGAAGCAAATTCCATTAGCAATAGCAAAGGGCAGAAAGCAAAGACGCCAGAGAGTGGGTCTAAGCATGAGACGCTGATGGAGTTCTCACTTAAAGACCTTTATGCCATCCAAGAGATTCAAGCGGAAGAAAATCTGTTTAAACTCATTGTCAAGTATGTACGGAATTGTCTAAAGTTGTGTAAAATATACACAATGTTGGGATGCTCTTGGTTACAATAAAACAAATCAGATCAAAATAGTGACAAACTGCTCGTGGGTCCAATGAAGTGCCATCTATGAGTAGACAATGGCTTTTACACTTCAGAGTGGTGAAGAGAAACAATCAAAATTCTCTCATGACCTGAAACTTATGTTTCAGTGTTTGTTAATAAAGTGTTATTGGCAAGTAGCCATACTGAGTTGCTTGCACTCATTGTCTATGGTTGCTGCCGTGCTACGGTAGTTCAGTTGAGTAGTTATTGATAGAAAATATATGGTCCATAGATACTGACAATCTTGCCATTGATGAAAGCAGTTGCCAACCTCTGATTGATATACTAAGAAAAATTTACTATCTCACACAGAAGGTGGAAGATACTGGCAATATGAAAATTAATATGATGACTACTTACTGTAAGGCGCTCCCACCTGAGTCTCTTTGGCATTTTAAAATTAAACAAAAAGTCTCCCAGACACACGAATTGAAATGGTTTAGAATTCTCCGTCCTCTCATTGTTCTACTACCTTATACCTTCTGCTGGGTGTGAGTACATTATACTCTAGTCATCTGTGGTCCTACTTCTTGTGACTCTGAATTGAACTGGAAAATGAAATTCAATTAAAAATATCCTGTACTCATTTTACGCTTTACTTCTCCTTTCAATTGTGTTATCTTGCATCTAAAGATGTGTGTCCAGAAAAATCAGACTAAAACCTTACAGTGAAAGTCCTGACTGACACTTTAAAAGCTCATTCCGAGAAGAGGCCGAAGGGTATATATCAGCTCCTTTAAGGTGCTTTTCAATTATCCTGTTTCATTATACAGGTTCAGTTTTGAAAGCATGCTTCTCTTTGTAGAGTAGCTTAGAATTCTGAGATGAATTGTTAGAATAAACTTTCTTGAGATTTTGAGGGGAGGTGGTTTTTTTTGTTTGTTTGTTTTTTTCATTTTTGAAGCTAATTCAAGGTAATCGAATTGCAGGTATAGGGATCAGTGGTATTAGAGATGGGGTTTATTTGACTTTTTAAAATTTTAATCAATGACATTCTGTTTTTCAGCTCACTTTGCCCTGTCATTTTTGGTCATGAAGTAAGTACTTTTTTGCATCTTTCCTCAAAAATAAAGTAGACAAAAATGACCTGTAGAATGTCATTAGTAGTTAATTCCTCCTGGCCAATTGCTCATATTTTAATACAAATCTTTATTCTTCATAAATGAGCGACATGGGAGGCAAACCATAGCTCCTTATAGTATAAAAAGACCAAAACTCACTCACTCCTGCATTGTTTTTGACTCACAGAGACCTCGTGTGTGTCAGATTAGAGTTTGCCCCCTAGGGTTTTCAGGGAGTGAATTTGGAGAAGTAGATCAGTAGGCCTTTTTGTCTTGGCACCTCTGGGTGCATTTGAACCTCTCACCTTTCTGTTAGTGCCAAGTCCATTAGCCCTTTAGATCACCCAGAGACTCCTTTGTAATAGTAACTGTCCATAAAAGCCTGCTGAATCATGGATACCAGCTAACATCACATGCCTCACCAAAGAGAGGTAGTTTCACCCACCACATTAGGGGTGAGTTAATTACCGTATATACTTGAGTGTAAGCCGACCTGAATATCAGCCGAGGCACCTACTTTTACCACAAAAACTGCGTTAAAAATGTGCTGAAAAACTTGCTATACATGAGTCTATACAGTAAATGATTGACAATCTAGCTTGTAAATGATGCTATAAATATCAAAATGGCCCTTAGCAGATAAAAGGTTTCCCATGCCTGATTTAGATACTCACACTTGTGAGAATGGTGCAGGGCCCTGTAGTGCTGTATTGTATTGTAGATGGGTGACTGAATCAGAACCTAATGGCGGCAACTGGACCCCATTAAATAGCACTGGGCTTCCTTTAGAGCAGCGGTTCTCAACCTGTGGGTCACGACTCCTTTGAGGGTTGAACAACCCTTTCACAGGGGTCACCTGATTCATAGCAGTAGCAAAATTACAGTTGTGAAGTAGCAACGAAAACCATTTTATGGTTGGTGGGTCACCACCACATGAGGAACTGTAGGAAAGGGTCCCGGCATTAGGAAGGTTGAGAACCACTGCGTTAGAGTGACTTGAGACACTGCAAGTGTTAGACACGCTATCAAATATCTCTCATTTTGCGGAGTGGATTCCTGTCCGTCTCAAGGCAATAACTTAAGTCATGCCACTCTGATTTTAATTTGCTAATTTTTTGTCTAATTGTTTACATTTAAGTTTATATTGTTAAGACTTTTAAAAATTTAGAAAATCAAAGCCCAAGTAAATCAGTTTTATAAACAGGAAGATACCCCTTTGAGTCATAGTTGTATTTTTCACGTTTGTTTTTCCTGCTTTCTTTGTTCACACTCCAGCTTGTTAAAGCAGGTCTGGCATTGGCACTCTTTGGAGGAAGCCAGAAATACGCAGATGACAAAAACAGAATTCCAGTTCGAGGAGACCCCCACGTGCTCGTTGTTGGAGATCCGGGCTTGGGAAAGAGTCAAATGCTACAAGTAGGAAATCAGTCATTCAGTGTTTGCCCTTCTGCTTATAAAATGCAGGACTGATTCACCTTGGAGAATTTTCTCCAAGCATGTATGTAGTATGGGTGTACCAGAATATAGTTTGTTTGGTGGTGTGGATAAGTGAGTTGGGACCTCATTTCTCACACTGGTTAATTGGAATGAGGTAAACAACCTTTTTGTTTCCATGGAGTAATATTATACAGTAAAGCTCTTACTATAAAACCTGACCAGTAGCTAACATTTCCGAACATTTACGAGTAGCTGTCATTTCCTTTTTATATTGGATGATTCTTTTAAACTTTTCCCACTAGGCAGCATGCAATATTGCCCCACGTGGCATATTTGTTTGTGGTAATACCACTACCACCTCCGGTCTGACGGTCACTCTTTCAAAAGATAGTTCCTCTGGAGATTTTACATTGGAGGCTGGTGCCCTGGTACTTGGCGATCAAGGTGAGAGACCAAAGGAAATAGGAATACTAATTGTGCTTCTGAGGCTTTTGTTGGTGTTGTTTAAAGCCCTTTCCTTTTCACTGCTTAACATTTGATCAAAGAAGCATTCAGACAACACTGCCCTAACCAGTGGATTGTCAGTGAATGTCAGTGGTTATACATTGGGCTGATAACCTTAAGGTCAGCAGTTCAATACCACCAGTAACTCCTGGGGAGAAAGATGAGACTTTCTACTCCTTTAAGGACTTGCAGTCTTGGAAACCCAGAGGGGCAGTTCTACTCTGTCCTATATGGTCACTGGGAGTCAGAATCCACTCAATGGCAGTGAGTGCTGGTTTTTCTTTTTGTTTTTATCAGAAATAACTAGAAATATGCTACTGTCATTTTTCATTTATACTGCAAAAATTGAGAATAATACTTTCACTTAACAGATCCCTGTATCAGATAAAATTATATATACACAAATTGATTGGGTGAGAGCGGTATAGATCCTTACACTTTCCATTTCATACCACTCAACATGTATGTGAATGTTTGCTTAAAGCAGTGGTTCTCAACCTGTGGGTCGCGACCCCTTTGGGGGCCGAACAACCCTTTCACAGGGTCGCCTGATTCATAACAGCAAAATTACAGTTAAGAAGTTGCAACAAAAATAATTTTATGGTTGGGGGTCACCACAACATGAGGAACCGTATGAAAGGTTCGCGGCATTAGGAAGGTTGAGAACCATTGCTGTAAAGTTTCATGTTAGGCTCCCTGTATGGTGGGCTTTGTTTATCTTGTTGGCTGCTCTACTCCCATTGCATAGTACATACTTTTTCAATGTTGCGTGAACATTGTGTATTACATGTTGGGTTGCTAACAGTTTGAACCCACCGGCTGCTCCATGGGAAAAGTTGAGGCTTTGTGCTTCTGTAAAGATTTGGAGACCCAAAGGAGCAGTTCTGCTCTGCCCTACAATGTCACTATTAGTCAAATCAGTGAGTTGATGAGTATTTTGCTTAGAACAGTCCTAGATACCTTGGAACTGAAAAGAAAGTGAATGACATATTTGAAACATTTTTGCCTTTTAATGTTCAGAGGACTTTCAATTAGAGTTAAGAGTTGCAACGTTGGTAGGAGTTTCGTGGTAGTTTATAATGAGGACTTCTGCTTTATTTTTACCTATTTAAGATTTGATTGCTGATTTATAAGAAATCCATCTGGAGAGCATAGCAAAAGGGATATCCAATTGGGCTCCAGTCACTCCCTAAGTTTCTCTCTGTGAAGCTTTCCACCTGTTACAAAAATATGTTCTTATGCCGGTGTTAGGCAGTGCCACATCTGGTCACACTACGGGCCTCATTCTTTTCCATCTGCGAGTGATGCCACATTTCTATATGACCAGTGGGTCACTCTCCTTTTTCTGGAGCATCTTTACCTCCCTGGTTTCCGGAACACCACACCTGTCTCATTTTCTTCTAACTTCACTCAATAGGTAACTTTATCCTTGGTTTTTATTGGTTCTTCATCTCTAATCTTACAACTGGATGGTACCTCGGTGTGCATAGTTCTTGAACTTTAGTTTTCTTGGTGTTATGTTTTGTCAATGTTGTTACTCAGTTTCCTGATGTTACCTACCTATGTTGTCAAAATTGCAAAATTTGTATCCCCAGCTTGTAGCACATTTTGCTGTCTTACTTAATTTCATAATTTCTGTGCACTGCATGTGTGTGCATGTGTGGGCTTGTTACTGATGTGTGGATTATTTGTGGAGGGGGGGGACCCTCCAAAACTAGTAAAACATCTCTGGCCACGCAGGTTGCCAAAAACATACAGCACATGTGTTGTTTCCATGAAATATGGAACTGCTTCCATGAACTCCAGACACATTCTTCTAACTGTCCACATAGTATTTCTACGTACACATCTAATCATTTTTTCAAATGTAACATATTTGGAACCAAATTTCTGATAGTCTTCGCAAACCTGTGATTTTTATAGTCTTCTTCAGCTCAGTAAATGACATCTCCATCTTTCAATTTACTCAGGTCACAAAACATGGCATTTCCCATACATCATACCCGGTCTGCCAATTAATCTTCTTTGGCCCTATCTTCAAAATATATCCACTATCTATACGCTTCTCCACATTTTTGATGTGGTCTACAATTCTGATCTAAATGGCATGCCTATGACCACGCTTTCCCCTCCCATCTGTTTTTAACACATCTGGTAATCTCATTTAACATTTAAATATATATTTTTGCTTCAAAATCCTCCATTAGCTCCCCAGTTTACTCCGAGTGAAAGCCAAAGTCTTGATAAAGCCCAAAGCCACTTTTATGCCAACATCTCACCACGTCTCTTTTGCCTCATCACGTATTCACTCACTGCCATTCACTCACTGCCATTCACTCACTGCCATTCACTCACTGCCATTCACTCACTGCCATTCACTCACTGCCATTCACTCACT